ACGCAAGATTCGAGAGCTGGTATTACAAGCGAGCCGTGTTCCACTTCGCGTCAACGTTACGCGGGTTTCTTATTTCTTCTTGGACATATATATATATATATATATATATATATATATATATATATAGATATATATACACATACATATATACATATAAATCCGTCTATAGATACTCCTTCTGTCATCTATTTTATTTTTATATCGAAGTGCAAAAAGTTGCACGTTAACATCAAGAAGATATTAAAATAATTCTTATTTCCAAATTGCAAAAACTGAGAGATCCCTTCAAGTGCGGCAGGAAAAAGATAAAGGAAAAATAAGAAAAAAAAAAGAAGAAGAAGAAGAAGAAAAAGAAGTAGAAAATCGTAAGGAAGTTTCTTGACCGTGAGCAGGCTCTCGATTATGGTGTTTGTGTGTGCTTCTGATGAGGATAGATTGCTATAGCTATATTTCGAAAGTCACGTGCTGCGTTGAGGAAGGTTTGGGACCACAGAGTGCAAGCAACAGCAGCAAAAGCAACAACCAAGAGTGGCACGACCGCTCTTCTCATTTTTTCATTCATTTTTTCTCTTAACTTGTCTATCCCGCTAAGAGACCTTTTATTTTTCATCCATTCTATTTAGATAGAAGGAATCAAGAAAATGATCGATAAAAATCATCCTCGGAAAACGAAATAGATCTTATAATAATTAATCTTGATCCTATTACAAAATTGCGATCATTCAGATTGATATAAAATAAACGATTGGAATTCTAACGAATATATCCCAATGAAAATAAAATATATGAAAATGTAATAACCATTCTAATCGAATCATATATCAGCAATTCGATCTATGGCTACGATAACTATCGATTACTAGAGATTAAAAGGTTGAACGGAAGTTCCGAAGGAGTGGCAAACTTATTGATCGATGATTTAAGCTTATCGATTTTACAAACCTGCAAATTATATACCAATACACAATAATGATGATGATAATAATAATAATAATTAATCGTCGCAACTTCAAAACTATGTATTTTCGATCGAGATCAGATTGATTATAAAGTAAGATCGATTATAAAGTATGTTGATCAGGCATGTGCCATCAGGAACGTTGGTAAACCGTCGAAAGTTTGCGTAGGTGTAAGGTTTAAAAGGGCACTCATGTACAAATCGTGTGGGTGTGAAGAAACATATATATGAGCCTGCCCAGGGCACAGAATATTCTCGACACGGCTCTGGAAGCAAGAGTACTTACATACGGCAGCCCGGCAATGCTATTGCTTTTTACACACGAGTGTAACGTGAATCGTGTGTTATAAAGCGTGTATGTAAAAGTACGTATGTGTTTTCAAGTAAATATATATACACGGAGGACAGCAGCAGAGCAGCAGCAGAGCAGGCAGGACAGACATATAAACGCGTATAGGTATTATACATATACGCATTGGTGTCTCATGGCGCACGACGTCAGGCCCGCGGCCACTACATTCCAAGGGCTGCCCAAACTAAACCCTACATCTTATATACTCACTCCCCCTAACCCCTTCCCTCTTTTACTCCTTCCCCACCTACGACCAGGCCCCGGCCTAGCCTCTCTCTCTTTCTTTTATTTTTTTTATTTCTTTTTATTTTTTCTTTTTTTTCTTCTTCTTTTTTTTTTCTTTTTTTTTTTTATTTCTTCATTTTCCTTTTTTTCTTTTTTTCTATCCCCTCCAACAACTTCGTCTCGACTTCGAAAGACTCGTGTCCCTTCTACCACTAAAGAGATACTCCAGAGAAGGAGAAACGGTAGCTCCTCAAGTACCTCTCTCTCTTTCCCTCTCTCATCTCTTTCTCTTTTTCTCTCTCTTTCCACCGGTAATATCGTAAACGACACCTGGCAAGATCATCTACCCGTGTACACCATCGAATTTTTCGATCAATTTTTTCCCCGTACATCTTTATTCTTTTTGTCGTGATCTCACGTTTTGTATTTGATTTGCCTTTTTGTCTTTTTGATCGTGATTCTTTTTGTTACGTTATATACTTATTTAACTTTCTTTGATTCTAAATCTCTTTTCAATTGGGAAACGAAAATGTACGTGTAATTTTGGAGATATTGGAAAAAAAAATAAAAGAAGAAAAAAAGAAACAGAAAGATAAACGATTTAAAGGATTCTTCTTTCTCGGGCTATATTATATTTTGATATAACGATTCTCGTTGTTACATACTCTCGTTTATTTTTATCCAAATTCATTAAAGAATTTCGTGTGTTAGACGATGAGAGACACGGTTAGTTCTATCCGCGTAGGTGGATTAACTCGAATGAATTCTCCTTCCTTCTGCCGTTGTAATCAATTTGACTAATTTAATTTAAGTACGAAACCGGTTTAGTTGGGCCATTTCTCACATTCGTTCAACAGCCACGGGTTCGGACGCGGTACCCTTCTCCTATAGATTTTAACGTTCGTGTCGCTTAATCGGAGGGACCTTCAGAGATAATTTCAATGCAAATCAAATACAAAACGTGAGATCCTTTAAGCGATCGCTATCGGTCATTTAAGAGACCGATTCGATTCTTCTTTCCTTCTCTTTTATTCTTTTTACCCTTACATTGCTCGGCTCTTTAAAATTCATTCTAAACCATTTCAACGTTAATGATTTTCTTTTTAATCCTCGTTAATTATAAATTCCTACCTCCGTGATTTTGTCACATTTAACAGATGCATTTATTATTAAAATTGCATTATCTCGAAATAATCTAATAAAATACACACATACATATCCATATACATAAATACATATATATATATATATATATATATATTTGCATACAAAGGAAAAAAATTACTTAGAGCTCGAAACGCGAGAAGATGACAAAGGTAACGTAAAAAAAAAGAATATATATATATATAAATTAGAATTCTTTTGTCGTCTTTTCTTCGAGAATAACGGTAAATGATATTTGCACGAAATGATCGAACGTCGTGGATCTTAGCGAGAAATGCATTCTCTCTTACGATCGTCGAAGTCGACAAGGAGGACAATAATGCATCCTCGCGTGTCGTCGTCGAACGAGCGAAAGTCTCTTGGAAGAAGAATCGCTATGTTAGAGTGAGTACTCTGTGAGTACCATGTTCTCTCTCTCTTTTCTCTCTCTCTCTCTCTCTCTCTCTCTCTCTCTCTCTCTCTCTCTCTCTCTCTCTCTCTCTCTCTCTTTCCATCTACTGCTCTAACCGGTTAGCAGTAAATCCTTTAGGACGATCCAAATCGTTCTTTCTTGAGATTCGTGTCGACCATTGTGACGTCGAATAAAATAGTGCGAATCGCGCTAATACGATAAGAAAAATTCTATGAAAACAAATACAATGAACAATGTCCTACGCGATATTCATCGTTTCGAAATATAAAAGAAATTCTTATTTATTATTCCACTTTGCGTTTTACTCTATCCGTCGACCTTCGCGTGACTCTATTGAAATTTTTCATTGACTTCATAGCAAGGTCAAAGAAATTATATTATCACGAGTAAAACAGACGTCTACGTTTAACTACATAATTTCTAACAAATAATACGTTTTTAAAAGAACGATACAATGTTATTTGAATAAGAATAAGGGATCCCTTTGCAATGTACTTTGAATAAGGATAAAAAAATTAACATTCTTTCGATAATCCAAATTGACGAAGGATTATCATTGGCGATACGTTCGTAGGAATTTCTTGAAAAAAAAGAAAAGAAAAAAAGAAAAAAAAAACTTAGTCTCGTGAGACACCGAAGAAAGTGACTCGTGTGTATTCAAACGAGGCTGTGAATTTCTATGCACGTTCTCTTCTTCTAAGTGTATAAAAAGATGAGTGAATTGTATGACTTTCGGAATCGAAGTTTAGCCATTGTACGAGTGGCATTGCACGTTAAAGAATAAACGAAAAAAGAAAAAAAGAAAAGGAGAATTGAATTCTTGTTCCAACTTACCAGAGCAGTATCGATGAGAAGGAACGAATGGAATGAAAGTGGAGACATGTCGAATTCCTTGTTAAATCTAAAGGACACATTCACGAATAAAATCCACATTGACGAGGCAAATCGCCGAAGATCCTTCCTTCGATCTCTCGTTTAACACTCGCATAGTTTCAATGACACGTTTTGATGAATTAGCCTTTAGTGACACAGTAATCGTTTAATTCTTCTTGCAAACTCGTGTCACACTCTTTAACCTATCTTTATCAAATCCTAACGCACACGTGTTCTTCCCATTGGCACAAGATTTACTCGGACGATATCTAATGCGCGTTAACTATAGAAGTCCTTAACGAAGCTGTAAAAAAAAAAAAGAAAAAAAGAAAAAAAGAAGAAGAAGCAAAACAGACGGCAGACACAAGAAATATAAAATTTTGTTAATGGGACAACGACTTGACTGGAAGATGTTACGTCTTGATATTATCTAGATTTTTTTAAATTTCCTTTTTATCTCTCGATCGTACCGCCGCGCAAGGACTGCTCGTCTTCGAACGCGTCCAATCGTGTCGCCTCTTTTCGGCAGCTGTCAATTACTAGCAACAGAGGCGCCGCGTCTCTGCAGCATCCCAAGCGGAATCGCTTTCGGTCCAGACTGATTGCGAGTAAGGGAAAAAAAAAGGACAAAAAAAAGTAGTAATGGTCAACGGAAAGACAAACGTGGAAAAGGACGATTGCGCTGTGGGCATTTCGGCGGCAAATTCGCCAAACTTTTCATTGAGCGCCGTCGATATTATCGACCTAGGGTAATCGATGATAGAGCATGATTTTATCTACAAATCGTTAAGGCTATTCAATCATCCTTCATTTTATAATGATTTACCGCGTAACAATGCGTAATTATTAAACGATTTTGATGAACAAGATATAATATTAAAGATAAAGGTTCAAACGAGAATCGGGCTTTTTGAAAAAGCTTCATTTTAATTGAAGAATTCAAATTCTCGCGGGTTATCAGGCATCTGGCGGGAGTTTTTGAAATAACGTCGTTCATCTTGAAAGGTTTGTATTCAATGGATTGGTGAAACGCGTGCGCGATGACGTGAGACGAATTTCGTGTGATTTCTCGTGCGAGTCAGCAAGGAAATTGTAACTGTGATAAGTGAGAGGGGTGTGCGCCCCCGGTTACTTGGATACAGTTGTGGTTATCACATTTGACAATAGACCTTAATCGGTGCTGCATGGTTTTGAAAATAACAATTTATCGATATGGGTGAGTTGTGTCATGAATTAAAGTATACGTGTGCGTTTTTCTGGTTGCCTACAGAACTGGGTACAAACACTGTAAGATTAACATGCGACTTATTTTATCATTCGAATGCATATATAAAAGTTTAAATATTTTCTCTTTCAGGAGGGTTGCTAAGTTATTTTCGTAATTTGTTGGGAAGTCGAGAAATGCGGATATTAATTTTAGGGTTGGACGGTGCCGGTAAAACTACGATTTTGTATAGGTTCGTTATTTTTATTTGCATACTGACAGTTCATATTTAATTGATCTACTTAGAATGCCAACGAATTCTAATCATTATTCTATTTATTAATCATTAATTATACTGTTCTTTTGCACCTTTGTGATATGTATGTCTTATCTCTGCTGATAATCATCAATCAATATTTGTTAACTCTTCGTATTTTCACGTATATATTTAACAATCTAATGTTAGATTGCAGGTTGGTGAAGTAGTAACTACGATACCTACTATAGGATTTAATGTAGAACAAGTTACGTATAAGAATTTAAAATTTCAAGTATGGGATCTCGGAGGACAAACTAGTATACGGTAAAGTCTAAGTAAATGATTTATCTAGATAATTCTGAGGTTAAATGAAATTTAGATTTTATCGTTTGGTTGTTGTACAAAAAATAAATTGATAAGTCCTGTGTTATTTCAGGCCATATTGGAGGTGTTACTATTCAAATACAGATGCAATAATATATGTGGTTGATTCAGCAGATAGAGATAGAATAGGCATATCAAAGGATGAACTAATATATATGCTAAGGGTAAGAAAAGATATATTTGATATGTCTCAGTAATGTTTTCTGCGCTTAGCATATGTCCCTTCGTTAATTAAAATGACATTTACTTTATAAAGGAAGAAGAATTACAAGGTGCCATTTTGGTGGTACTGGCAAACAAGCAAGACATGGCAGGGTGTTTAAGTGTTGCAGAAGTGCATCAAGCTCTTGGATTGGATGCACTTAAGAATAGAACATTCCAAATATTTAAAACTTCGGCAACAAAGGGAGAAGGTCTGGACCAAGCAATGGATTGGCTGTCAAATGCATTACAGAGTAGAAAATGATCAATATTACATCATCATTTTTCTTACTCAAGCCTTATAAAGAGACTTGTCATATGACTGTCACTTGAAATATCCCATGTAATTGGGAAGCTCATTCTGTTTATTTATTAAAAAATTATTATATTTTAAATACCTTGCATTTTTCACATACAAAACCATCACAAAACTGACCATACTTTTTATAACACACACACACACACACACACAGACAGACAGACACACACACACATACAAATATATATATATATAAAATATATATATATATATAAAATATATGACATAATAGATGTCAGAAGTTTTATCTTTCTTACAAATCAAGGTAAAAAAAGAAAAATTAATTTTTTCAACGCATGCAAATATACCTTTGTATTTCAATTATATCATAATTATATAAACATCTCACTTCATCATTATGTGATCGTAGAGAACTGCATACTTTTTCGATAATGACCTACTTCTCCCTATTTAATATTATTTGTAAATGAAAGTTAATATATTGGAACATACTGTCACAAATAAAGACTTAATTTCATATACTAACAGAATGATATGAAGTAAAATGATTAATGAAGCTAATTAATGTTTTACATCCACATATGAATAATCATTAATTATAAAGTACCTAATAAGTAAGTTTGCTGAATGTAAAGTGATGAAATATCTAAGTGGAAATTTAGAATAAAATGAACATGTAAAGACATAGCCGTTCAAACAAAATTAAGCATACTATCTTATAAATTGTTTGTAATTTAATATAATTGTTGCATAATAATACTGAAATAAAATTAATGCTGCCGTAGTGAAAAGTACCAATATAAGTATTATGGATTTTGAATGATGGTTTAATACTATAAAATTTATATATATATATATATATATATACATGTATATATTTATATATATGTATATATATTATATATTTATATACATGTATATTTCTGTATCAACAATTTTTGTTTAAAGCAAGATGAATTAGAAATTTTCATTATCTCAGTTGATATAAAAAATAATTTAATTGGATTTCTATTATTTATTAATGTTCAAATAAGTAATCTATTAATAAATAAATTATATCATTGTACATAAAACGAAATTAACATGGATTATAGATTATATATCCATTATAGAATAACAGTAAATTTAAGAAAATACTCATACCTAAATATGAACTTTAAGTGTTCCATCAAATCTTTTTTACCACTCTGGAATTCCAAATCTTTCGATCCTTTTTATTTGAGTATCCAACTCTAATTGGATTTTTTTCCTCATGTAGAATATAGGACAGTCACGACTATAACAAAAATAAAAAATAATATTACAAGCACACATACATATATTTAGTAATATTTAAAGAAAATATTTTCGATTTACCTAGTGCACAAAACTTCTTGATGTAAGCTTCCTTGGCATCTTTGACACTCTGTCCATAGTCTACAAAACTTTTCCTCCAATTTCCTTTCCGCTAATATTTCAGTCTGATATATTTCTGCTTCGCGTGATTCACAATGCTCACACACAGCCATTTTTTCTCTTTTTGGTTGCAAAACGGCTTTACAGCCAATACACGTTTCTTTCTTACGTGTGAATGCTGCCAATGCACCGACTTTAGAAGTAACAACAATTTTTGTACGAGTATGATCTCCTTTTAAAAGTAACGATTGTGCTTTTTCACCAAGAATTGGTTCAAAAATACGTACTAATGGTTTTGATAATTGATTTTCTAAATAATATGTTGTATCAATGGGAATACTATTTTCTAATACAAATATAGGATCCTCAGCTTTCTGATAAGCTGGAGTACCCTTAGAGGCACTTATAAATACATATGGAACACGATCACCAAGTTTTGGTGCAGTTCCTGCATCACGTTTTTTCATCTTGGCTGCTAATTCAACGTGCGCCTGTTTAGCCGCATAATCAGTCTTTGTTAACTCTTTTGTAATAACCAATTGCGAAATGTCAATACGATTACACAAAAGATCGCTTATTATTTGTTTTGCATAATCAATAGCATCTTCAGGATTCCTAAAAAAAAAAAAAAAAAAAAAAAAAAAAAAAAAAAAAAAAAAAAAAAAAAAAAAAAAAAAAAAAAAAAAAAAAAAAAAAAAAAAAAAAGAAGAAAAAAAAAAGAAAAAAAAAAAAGAAAATATTAAATATAAATCTTTAAATTATACAACATACACAATGTACCACCTACCTATCAATAAGTAATTTTTGCAAACAAGTATTCATCATCTTTGCTACTAAAGGACAATTATCTCTTCTTACTGTTTCTAAACCTTTACAATCCATTTTATCATATTTATCAGGTTTTGTAAAGTAAAGACCCGCGTATCTTTTTTTGTTTATTAAAAGATAAGGAAAGTAGACTTTTTCAAATTCCAATTTGATGGGTTTAATAAATTTTGATGTAACATACTCTGCAGCTTCTTTACCTAGTTCCATGGCTTCTTCTATCTTTTTCACGCCAAAGTTAACCATAACAGAATCTGTATCACCATAAATAACAACAGCATCATTTTTGTAACCATTGTTGATACAGTAATGTTGCTCAACTTCGTGTTTCGTTTTTTCTATCATAGTGCGTCCATAAGCAGTAACACTCTGTAATAAATAAGATTATTATTGTTTTAATCCAAAATTTCATAATATCAACACGTTGTACTTACAGCAGAAATTTCTAAACACGGTAACTTTCCCATCTGTGCACCTGTGAATCCATACACAGAATTTGCTGATACCTTCAAAGCATACTGCCTACCATCTAAAACTTTTTGTTTCAGCGGATCTGTTTCCTTTTTTAATTCAGCTTTAGCAACTTTTCTAGCTGTCAAAAGATTTTCTAAAATTTCTGGAAGCAACCCTTTTCTAACAGTAGATTTAACAAATAATGAATTGCTTGGAGTACGCGTAACTTCGTCAATTTTTAAATCATATTTATTCTGTTTCTCAGGCGTTAATAAAGTTGTATAACATAGATTATGAGCCATAATAATACTGGGATACAGGGAACTAAAATCTAATGTAGCTATAGGATCACTATAATAGCCACGTTTCGGCTCTATAACAGTACCTCCTTCAAACTGTTCATCTGATCCACGTCCTGTGTGTACTGGCATTAAATAATTTTTTTCTCGCATCTATAAAAATATAGAGATAATAAAATATTACACACACAGACAAATACACAAGCGCGCGCGCACACACACATTCTATTTATAAATATTTAATAAATATACCTTTCTTAAAAGTTGAGAAACAACTTTAATTTGTTGCCCTCGAGTTAATAAACTCATTAAAGATACACCAGTAACTCTTGCCATTTCCATATAAATAATTATACACATTAATTTATCTAATAATCTCAATGGTAAATATGCATCTTTCAAACAATACACAGCAAGACGTCTTCGAGTCTGTGCATTACCATTTTGCAAATCAGTGATAATACTATGATGCACATCTTCTTTTTGCTCTTGCAAAAAATGATAAGAAACGGCATTCAAAGAATAGGACCTCAATTTATAATCTCTAATTAATACCTAAAATACATGTAGGAAGAATGTATAAAGCTAAAATAATATATAAATAAATATATATTTTTTTTAATCAGTTGTTTCTTAATTTTCTTACCAAAAGTAAGTCAAATGGTACTCTGCCTTCAAAGTTTATAATTTTGTATTCACGTCGTCCCATTTGCTTACTTTGCAATATCTGATCTTTAATTACAGACTTTATATTTTTGATTCTACCAAGATACTCAAAGTCTTTTACATTGAGAAATTTCGCCCGATTAATTAAATATGGAAAATCAAAGTTATTAATATTGTATCCTGTAAAAATATCAGGGTCTAACTGTCGTATAAATTCAGCCCATTTCTAAAAAAACAAAACTAATTAATAATATCAATATTACGTAGAGAATATATTTGTTGTTATTGCAAAGTACCTGCAAAAGTTCTTGTTCTTTGTTAAAACTAAGTACTTGGCAACCAACAATAGGTGCACATGTATTAAGAGTAAATATATTTCGTAGAAATGGTTCTGTTTCTCCCTGTCTTATTACCATATTTGCAATTTGTATGACAGGATCATGATTAGGTTCAGGAAATATACCTACAAACAAATAAATGATAAGTAAGGTAACAAAACAAATTACTATCAATTTTATCAAGTATAACATATACCTTTTCGTCCTGCACATTCAATATCAAAACTAAGTATTCTAAATGGCGCAACTTTAGACCATTCACCTTCCGCTGGATGAGCTATAAAAGCATCCCATGCAATATCGACTTCTAACTGGCATCTAGATATTACTGGCAATGTATGTCCATATTGACCTCGTAATTTCCATGTGTTTGGTGGTAATTCAATCCAACAACAACCTACTACTGATGTGTCTACCATAAATCTATTAAGTATACAAAAAAAAATTAATTTCAGAAACCTATAATTTCTTTTAATAATATATAAAATGATATTTTATATAAAGAATTAATAATATTATTTATACCTAATATCAAAATCAATATTCGTTTCAAAGGGTGTATAAGTATGATTGAATTCGTTATAAATAATTTCTTTTTCAAGTAATCTTTTACAAGGTGCTATTAATTTTGGAAGTGCAACAGTAATTTTCAAAAATGCATTTTTGTCATTTCCTGTATATGTATATACTGTTTGTTTATATACAATTTCAACAGATAAAATAGCTTCTTGAACGGTATTTTGATTTGATTTCATATCTTTCTTAACAGCTTGATCGAGTGCATCCTGTAATAAAAACTATGTTTATATAAGCTCTAAATTGATAATTCTATATAAATTTCAAACAATATTTCTTATAGTTAACCTTAAAAGGTTTACAATGAGCATTTGTGAAGTTCTGTGGTGCTGTAACAAACAGGTATGGACAAAATCCATGAACATGACAGCAAATAGAATTTCCTTGTTCAGTAACACCAAACATTCTCATGATTGCAACAGGGCCAAATTTACTACCTGGCATTCCTGGTAATGGCTGACCTTTTTAAATAACAGTTACTGGTAAAATGTATAAATAGATATCTAACGCATTAAGTCGATTATTTCATATTTCACAAATATAATTTAATTTCAATATTTTTTTTACCTATATAATGATCAATATCTATCTGTTGAAATGTTAATGTATCAATTTGTGGATTTAAATCTGGTGGAGACGGTCTACTCCATTTTGCAGATATATTTTCTTGTTCTGGACCCTATAATAAAATCTTGAATTAATTTTATTATTTTATTAGAAACGCAAAGCCCATGTATATGTTAGGATATTATGAATACATTGCGAGCACATAAATACATTCATAAAATTGGATACAGCAATTCTCTTAAACTTATCATATTGTATTAATAATGTGACTGCACAGCTTAGAAAATAAAACATATAAAGCAAGCATTTGTGATATAAAACAATTAAAAAATGAATTAATAGGTGGAACTTTTATCAGTTAAAAAAATGTATATGAACAATCATGTGAATATATATGTATATCTATTGAAAGAAATCAATGATTATCAATACCATATTAACTCACTGCTTTTGGCTTTTCATTCGTCATTTCGCAGTTGTCAATAGGCTAGAGAATAAAATTTTTATATTTAATAATGGACATTTCAGCCTTATTTAATACATAGTTTGGAATTGCTAAGATATATATTTTAGATTAATAGAAATAATTGAAAATTTAATTATTTTATATTTGTATATAAACGTTAGCTTACTTCGCCAATAATTTGTGTTAAATCATTACATTGATCATCCATATCATCCATAGTAGCCAATTCGGCTTCAAATGAACCAGGGTAATCATCTTCATCGTCATTCTGGCTAAAAATTAACATTGTGTAAATATAATTTTATTAATTTTAAAAGAAAATACATAAATTAATGAATTCTGAATAAATATGAAATTGTTATAAGCTCGACGTAATAAAATAAGGTTATGATCAATTTGATTTGAAATATTCTACGAGATACCTAAATTTGGCCTTTTTCGCAGCTCCAGGTCCCGAATACTGTCTTCTAATCATTTCAAATAATTTGATTTCTAACACTTTAAATGTACAAAAACACAATATTTTATTTGCATCTAAGTACACAAATTAATTCATTTCGCTCTAACTTGTACAAAACAGCGGGAATTTTTATTTCTTTACAAATTGCGCTGTTACAGATGGCGCTGATCGTTTCCTCTTGCGCCATCTTTTGAGTAAAACATATATTAAATGGGAGAAAATAAATATGAGTTGGTCCATCTAGTATGTGATGGTATACTATGTAAAATAAATTATGTCAAACAGCGTTATAGTGCTTAGTTAATGTTTAGTTAAAGTATTTAGAATTTTGTGGTCGCCACTGTGAATTTCAATGTGTTACAATGAAGAATTAATTACAAGCAGGGCGTAGTTGTAATTGCGACATGGCATCCCGCAGGTAAGGCATGTTTTTATACTTATATAAAGAAAATACGATTATCGTAATTCATGGACATTCCGAGAACAATTTTGCGTATCGTCGGCACAACAGCAGGTTAGTCAGACATACTTGCAAATAAAGTGTCAACGTTAAAATTAAACAATCGTTTTTGTGTTATCACATTTAAAAAAATTATTCTTTAATTTTTCACAAATTGCAAGAGATTATCATAATTTTTTGCAAAAAAAATAAATTTGCATATTTCATGAATTATTATGTGTACAATTGTTTACAATAATGTTTTTCAAAAATCTAATGTCTTATTGATGTTATAAAATGTTAAATATTTACTTTTTGAAGTTGTATTATAGACAAGTTTGTCTATGAATTAAATTAAATATTTTTAATTGTAGATGGTTTCACCCTAACATATCAGGATTAGAGGCAGAGCGCTTATTAATGGAACGAGGTTATGATAGTTCCTTTCTGGCACGTCCAAGTTCATCCAATCCTGGTGATTTCACATTATCTGTAAGGTAATAAAATTATAAATAAATTATTTTCGTTTGATTTAAACATTAAAATATATATATATATATATATATATATATATATAAATAGAAAATATTTATTACTACTTTATATAATTTATCTTGTTCTTAGACGAAATGGTGAAGTGACTCATATTAAAATACAAAATACAGGAGACTTTTATGATCTTTATGGAGGTGAAAAGTTTGCTACATTATCAGAACTTGTACAATTTTACATGGAAAATGGTGGACAACTTCGTAAAAAAAATGGAGAGATAATAGAGTTGAAATATCCTTTGAATTGTGCTGATCCAACAACTGAAAGGTATTGTATAATATACGATAAAAGGTGTAGCCCTTTTTAAACTACAATTTAATATGTTAGTATAAAAATCTTCTATTATTACTTTAAATGCGCACATATAGCATGGTATGTTAATAGTAAAATATGGGTAAAGGTGGTTCCATGGCCATTTATCAGCAAAGGAAGCAGAACGATTGATGATGGAAAGGGGAAAAAATGGATCTTTTCTAGTTCGTGAATCACAGAGTAAACCTGGTGATTTTGTATTATCAGTTCGTACTGATGACCGTGTTACACATGTTATGATACGATCTCAGGTTAATTATATTTGTGCTATATAACATTATTATTCTATATTTTTATCCTGTTTAGATCAGATTACATTAATTTATATCATATTTTATCTGGTTGTTTATAATTTATAAAACTAGTTAATATTGTAGGACAATAAATATGATGTGGGAGGAGGAGATAAATTTGATAGTCTTAGTGATCTCATAGAGCACTATAAACGTAATCCAATGGTTGAAACAAGTGGAAGTGTTGTTCATCTCCGGTACGAATATTTTTCATTATATATTTTCTATGTTAATGAACTATTATCCTATGCAATTACAATTTATTAAATAAAAATTTTAATGTCTATTTTCTCTATTAGACAACCATTCAATGCAACTCGTATAAATGCTAGCGGAATTGAAAGCAGAGTTAGACAGTTACACAAAGAAAATGGGTGTTCTAACGGGTTATTATGTCGAAATGGCGCGACAGATACTAATGAAGGCAGTACAGGTCGTGGTAAAGGAAAAGCAGGCTTTTGGGAGGAATTCGAATCATTACAACAACTAGAATGTCGTCATTTGTTTTCCAGGAAAGAAGGTTTAAGATTAGAAAATCGAGCAAAAAATCGATATAAAAATATTTTACCGTGTAAGATATATATTTGTATTGCGCCACCTTAAAAGTTGTTTCTTCACTGCTAGATTATACATTCTATAATTTTTCTTGCAGTTGATCACACGAGAGTACGCTTGAAGGATGTTGATCCTAATATACCCGGATCAGATTATATCAATGCTAATTATATCAGGGTATAATATCATATAATTTATATATATATATATATATATATATAAAATTTACATTTATTACACATAAGTATTGTTTGCAGAATGAAGAAGGTGATGGAGCTGCACCTGGTATTAGTGGAAATGATGTTGGACAGTTTAATAAATGTTATATTGCTACACAAGGATGTCTTCCAAATACCATTGGAGACTTTTGGCACATGGTGTACCAAGAAAACACTCGAGTAATCGTTATGACAACGAAAGAAATGGAAAGAGGAAAAGTATGTTGAAAAGAAAATGTCTTTAATAATGAATAATAATATGTAGTAAATGGTAATACATATACCATTACTTTTTAGAATAAATGTGCTCGATATTGGCCTGAAGAGGGAGAAATTGCAGAATATGGAGGCACATGGAAAGTTAATGCTCTTTCTTGTACTGTAACAGCAGATTATACTTTACGTGAATTTTTACTGCAAGGAAACAAGCCAAACAACACGGTTGCCAGAAGAATATTCCATTATCATTTTCAAGTTATTATTTTTCTTTCTACCATTGATTATAGTTCGTAAAAGATTATGAGAATCTTGCTGCATATTATAAGAATACAGTAATTTAAATTATTAGATTAATAATATTATTCTCAAACTGACTTATAGGCATGGCCTGATCATGGTGTACCGTCAGATCCTGGTTGTGTTTTAAACTTTCTTCATGATGTAAATGCTAGACAAGAATTAATAGCTGCAGCTGTTGCGTCAAATACTCAAAATGCACCAAGCATGGGGCCAATTCTTGTTCATTGTAGCGCTGGAATAGGAAGGACTGGAACTTTTATTGTTATTGATATGATTTTGGATCAAATTAAACGCCACGGTAATTATCTTCAATTATTTTTAAATCAACAATATTTCACTGTACATAATTAAACTATATTTATATTACTGATTATACTAGGTCTTGATTGTGAGATCGATATTCAACGAACGATTCAAAGAGTACGTTCTCAGAGATCAGGTATGGTACAGACTGAAGCACAATATAAATTCGTTTATCTTGCGGTATTACATTACATTGAAACTGTATCTCAGAGAATGCAAGCTGAACAGGTAATATTGATATTGTAAAATTTCTAATAATTTATTACTATTTTTTTAACAATCTTTTGTACTTATTTTCCATAGAAATCACTTCAGTTAGGTCGTGAATATACTAATATTCGATTACGACGGTACTGAACGGTTTAAGATCGTGTAGCGAATATGATGAGGAATGAGCCGCGGGAAGCTGCTCAAAGGAAAGTAAATATTTTAAAAGTATGACGATTTTCACCGACGTAACTGGTATCTCGGTTCGCTTATTAAAATTATCAAGAATTGAGCAATTAAACCGATTATCACGTAATTGGTATAATACACCGGAACCGAGAAAGCGTGGTTATCGGGGAAAAAGAAGTGAAGGAAACAAAGATGATAATTTATTTCATTGCCTAGCTCGGATTGAAGAGCGAAACTCTCAATCTACAAAAAGAGGTTAAGACTACCAAGATTCTATCTCGGAATAAAATGAAAAATAACTTTTGCATAATTGACATATATATGTGTATGTATATATATATATATATATATATATATATATATATATATGTATACACATATATATACATATATATATAATGATAAAGATGTGAAATTCCGACAGAAATAAAAGTATAAGTAATTATAAAAAGAAATATGATAAATTTCAACAAGATTGGACAAAGTAACTCGTATCTTGATGTGAAAATGATAGAAATATTCGGACGAAATCTATTATATAAACAAGTCGCGTATGTATACATTTTTCTAATAGTACAAAATACGAGAGATATTCGATTTAATGTACGAGCGAAAGATACATAAACAATACTCCTGTATACATATCTTATAATCCCGATACACGCAACAGAAAACAAATTATTAAACGATCTTCCGACTAGAAAGAGAACTCACGAAAGAAACACATGGAGACATTGCTATAAATTGCAGCATTGTATGTATCTATATGCCATATGTGCATACTCACATGCACTCAAGTACTTATACATGTTAAAATGTTCAAATCTATATATAAAAGTTCTTAAGAAAAAAAAAATAAAAAAAAATAAAAAAAAAAGAAAGAAAGAAAAAAAAAGAAAAAAGTAAACAGAAGTCTAATACTTGTGAGCTTTGCTTGAAACGAAATAAGAAATATCCTTTCAGATGTTTCATCAATGAATTGTCTCGACTTATGATCAGTCGTGAGTTTCATCAAAACGAGCTTATTCCTAGTCCAACGTTTAATATTTTCTGAAGCTAAAGAAATAAGTAAAAAAGCTTATATTCGTTGAGGAAAAATTGAAGAAGTCAGCAGGATAAAGTGTGTGTTTTACGAGAGAGAGATAAACAATGATCGAGGCCAAGTATACAGTGATTCACTACAGGAACTTAACTTTGAGAGAGGTTATGAACGAAATTATAAGACATTTCGTAAAATTGAAAAAGTCAAATGGATTAAATATCTGAATTTAATTAAAAACCTCCTGGATAAACAATCTTACAGAAAATGGATTAACTGCAACTTTAATTTGATTCTCGCTTGAAAATTTAATAAGAGTAGCCATTCGCTAAAACCAACGATCTGCCTTACCTGCATCCTGGAATTTTAATTGTCGTTGTTACGTGTTCATTTGTGCTTAAAATTTTAAAAAGTTTTCTGATTCGCAGTTGTAACGACCGCCATTTGTATTATTCTATCGTCAAAATAAAATGTGCGCGATTTTGTCCAGCGTTGCCAACTCAATTTTATCATTAATCGATTTTGTCATTAATCGAATATTGACATGCATTACTCTTTATTATTATCGATAATACTTCGATTATCAAAAGAAACGTATCGACAAATGTTTATCTATATTGAAAACAATTCTGAGAAATATTAGTTTAATAGATTTCGGTGAATTATAGGAGATTTTATTACTTGTGTCATAATATTTTCTTTATAATAAATTAATTATCTTGTGGAGTGTATGTACACTTATATGTGTGTATATTTTATTCATTCGAAATTATGATACAAGTAAAATGTGATTATGTGCCTAGTTACATAAGCACGGATAATACATAACATCCTGTAAAGAATAATACTTCCTATAGGAAGAAAATGATCAGATTATTGAAAATACGAACTAGGATTGCATAAATAAGACAAATTTATCAAGAAATTACATAGTTATATCCAATGTTTGAAGCAACAAACTATTCATCAGTATCATAATAGTTAATCTATTATACATCTATTGTTCATATTGTACAATAGATACATTGTTGTGTATATTTTGAAGATAAAAGCTATATATGGTTTATAAACTACAGAATGGCAATCCTTATTAAAAAATTTAATACTTTCATTATGAAATATACCATTTTTATCCAATTGTTTTCTTTTGTACTGCTAATACTCTTATATTTATGTCATATACATAGATTAGGAGATAAATTTGACTTTATTAATTGGAAGTTCATTTGTAAAAAATTTATGAATCTCAAGTTATATAAAATTTTGAATATTGATTTTATAAATTTAATAAAATAATAAATAATGTGTCTTTTAAAAATAATAAATAAATTAAGACAGATACAAGTATTAATTTCATATAAAAAAAAAAGAGAGAGAGAAAAGAAAAGAAAAAGACAAATCTAAAGATTTTTGTGAGAGGAAAATTTTACAAAATCCAATTGCATAATAACTAAGACAAATGTTTACAATTTTGATTATATTATGATTATATAGATATACTTTTTTTTACTATGACTGTATAGTTCTATATAGATATTTTTTAATAACAGTTAAGATTGATTTTATCATTAAAGTTCTTATGCACTTTTAGATCCAAGCATAAAAGTTTGCCCAGCTAAATAACCTCAACTAGCTTTATGAGGCAAAACATATAAAGATGTGATACACCATTTAAATATCTTTTATCATTTAACATCTATGGACTTATTAATATGAAATATCTTATACGCACATATGACAATGCTGCTTTAAAATCCTAGCTTTTCTTTTTTAATTTATTGTACTTGAGTGTATGTTTGCCAAAAATTTAAATATGTATACACGTTTTACAGTAATGATGTACTTTATTTAATAGTTGTCAAAATGTTAATCTTTAAAGAATTCTTGGTACTATATATAAACATTTGATAGATCCTATCTTAATATAAACATTTAATAAAAATTTTAATATAAGAAGTATGTTCTTTTATAATTCCAATGTTAGTAATTGATTATTATTGATCTTAAATCATAAATGTATAATAACTTTATAGCATACTTGTAAATTTAAATCTTTTTATGCATTATATTAAAATGTACATTTATATACTTATTAGTTATAATCTTTCTATTTTTATTTTCAATGCAATAACACGCTTTCTTATCATTTTTTATCAATGTGTTGTTTAGCTATATATATACACACATATATATATATATATTTAAGTTATTAAATGAATTATGTTAAACATTTACATTACAAATTAAAATTAATACATCATTTTGTAGAAAGTTTTATAAATTTTGATTGTCAAAGCTGTAACATGTTGTAATATGCATATGTCATTATAAGTAACATAAACTTCATGATCCTGTAAATTTGTATACAAGAGAACATATATGAAACGAACATATGATTCGTAAACAAGTTGTTTCTTCACAAAATATATAAAAAACTTAAATCACATAAGAAAAATTATCAAAATACCAAATCCTTCTTTTTCAAATATTTTAAAATGTTTCAAAATATATCAATTAATAGTATCAAAAGTAAATAATTAAATAGTTTATAAAAAATTAACTGTATTGCCCTAAACTCTAACTATTGATGCACATTTATTTAAATTGTAGAATAAAATAACAAATGAATATATGAATGTAAATAAAAAGAAGTTTTTAATTATTGAAACCTAGTATTGGTTCGAAAAATATATAAGACAAAAGAGTAAAGTTTTGTAAACAAAAATCAAGAATATAAAATAATTCTATAGTTTATTTTTTTTTTAAATATTGTTACTGTATATAAATCGCCAATGTTAATATGCTAATGTTTTAATTAATATATCAATAGCAATCATAATATTATCTAATTTTCTTATATTATTTCCTGTTTGTTTGGTTCCTATTGAATTGGCGGCATTATGATCAAGAATGGTAAAGAGGTTATGTTAGATTAGTTTAACTATTCCTACACGCTTTGTGTTTATGCCGTGCGTTGGAATTATTTTTGTTAAAATTCGATTATTTAAAATTATAGACGAGTGAAACTTAGTTTTTAACAAATATGAAACGTTTATCAGAAGAAAGAACAAAACTTGTGTTCGAAAAATTAAAAAAATAGTAAGTCATTTTTTCGAAAATGAATAGATTGTTAAAATTTACTTGGAATTATTTCTTATTTATTTTTCGTTAATTATTTTTTAATTATTTTGTTTACAGTATTGGAGAAAATATAAAAAATTTGATAGACCGACCAGATGGCACATATTGTTTTCGTGAAAAGAAGGATAGAATATATTATGTTTCAGAAAAGATTTTATCATTAGCGCATACAGTTAGTCCAGATAATTTAGTTAGTCTAGGTACATGCCTGGGAAAGTTTACTAAATCAGGAAAATTTAAATTGCATATTACTGCTTTGAATTATCTTGCACCATATGCTCAAGTAAATAACATTATATATATACAAATGATAATTTTATTATAGTTAATAATTGTTTATTATATTCTATTTTAAGCATAAGCTTTGGGTAAAGTCCTCTGCAGAACAACAATTTTTATATGGACATCATGTTTTAAAATCTGGTTTAGGACGTATAACAGAGAATACAGGACAATACCAAGGTGTAGTTGTTTTTTCTATGAATGATATACCTCTGGTATGTATTGTATTGTATTATTTTAGTAATAGTTTTATAAGATATATCAACAATCTTCTAAATGTTAAATATTTATAGGGATTTGGTGTAATGGCTAAAAGCACATTGGAATGTAAAAATGCTGATCCTATGGCAACAATTTGTTTCCATCAAGCAGACATTGGGGAATATATTAGATCTGAGGATACATTACTATAATTTCTAAATGCCTAAATATTTTCCTTGTATATAAATATTAAGAAGTTACATTTATATATATGTACATTTGTATTTTATATAAAAATGAGTAAGTAAATACATATATTCTTATTATTACTTTCATCAATATGAAAGTTTTACAAAATTGAACGATATCATATAATATAAAAAATGTATTATATTAATAATTATTAGATCAAAACAATTGACAGTATAGTTACATCTGTCAAAATTTTGTGTAATTATCATTTTATTCCAGTTTTGTATAATTATTAATTTTTAAGTTAAAAAATAACAAAACATTAATTTCATTATGTTATAATTTCTAAGACTGCATTGTGAATTGCATTAGTCATGACTAATGACAATTGTATAAATACAAAAGATGAACAATTATTCGCATTAGAAGTTTTTGTGAAAGATGTGACTCTTTATGTAGATAAATCACAAAAAAAAGAATTAACTCCTGAGTTAGGAGTTGATTTGAAATTCATTGACTTTCCTCTAATTAGAATTTTTCAACATGAGTACAATCTAACGAAAACAGAAAAATCCAAAGAAATTCGTAATGATGCAAAATGTCGTATTGTGAATTTCAATTGTGGACAAACACATTTATTTCCAAGAAATCCAAACGAATTGATAAGTGCAATGAGATCTTCACTACTAACTATAGATGTTTATAAAATAAAAAGCATATCAATATGTCCATATGAAATTATGAAGGATTCTTTAGGTGAAGCAAAAATACCTTTGTATGGATGTTTATGCGATCAAATTTCAATGGCAATTAACGACACTTATCACATGCCAAAACCATACGTTATTAAAAATAAATTCATTTTATTAAATCAAGATCGTACGGTGTCTGGAATGATATCTCTTTTTTTAAGACTTTTATGCGTTGGAAAATATAGTACTATTGAGTTTGCAATTGATGAAAAAACATTGTTATTTAAAAACCAAAATTTCCCTGATGAATTTCGATGCATGAGAGTCCCTATTTATGACGAAATTTTAATAAAAGCACAAGAAAGAGAAAGAAAAATTTGTTTTCCTGACGAAAAACTTAAGTCGAATGAAATAGATTTATTGCCAAATTTCATTATTGACTTAACTCAAATTTGTACGATGTTGGCAGAACAAGATGGAATTCCTAAAGATCTCTTTTCTAAATTAAAACCTAAATTCACTAATAAATACAAAGAAATTAACGATAAAGGAGAATATAATTCTTGGATTTCAGAAAAATTAATAATAGATACTTCTGTTTCTAATGTACGGATAAAATCGCACTTAGGTAATAGATCCTGTTATTCTGTTGGTTGTTCTGGTGGACTTTGTATTGGTGGAAAATCAATATGGGAAAATAAAAAATACCTATAGAGAAATGTAAATATTAATATATTCATTAATTCTTTATATTTTTCTATTAAAAATAATAACTGATTAATCTTTTTTTACATAAAGAGACTCGAACATATTGCATTGAAATGTAATTATTGTAACATATTGAACGAAGTAACGCGCGGGCGGAGTACTACACAAAGGGACACAAAGAGACACGAACGTCTGTACGAAGGTACCCGAAGATATACGAATGTACTGTACAAAAGAGACGTGAACAGACGTGAAAATACTATACGAAGAAACGTGAAATATTGCATGGAGAGGGATATACAAAATGAAAGCTTAGATAATAATCGACGAAATATATATATTCATCTGATTTTAATAATTAATAGCTATGGGTGATTATGGGTTTAAAAACTGATAAATTTATACGAATCATAGCAACATAATGCGGGTTATTGTAGGTAATAACTAAGAATTGTTAATGGCGCGCAACAAATGGTATTTGAAACCACTTAAAAATTATTTCAAAGTAGCTTGATGTAATGAAGAATCGATATTCATTCACAAGTTATCTTTCTAAACAACTGTAATTTGGACAATTACCAATAAAAATTTGTTACTATGCGATTGAAAAACAGTAATAAGGTTTTGTAAGAATGTTTCATTAATATGTAATATTCTGTATAGAACGAATTAGTTGGCGATACACATACAAATATAAATTAGAAAATATAAATAGTTTGTAAGTTTGTATTCTATATAAAAAGTGATTCTCTCTACGTTAGAAAATTATTAATAGTGAAGCTACGAAAAAAAAAAAAAAAATATTTCATCAGCAGGCAATTACGGTCGTACCGTTGCGTGCGCACCATTGAGGTTATGTCGGACTCGTGACGTGCGCACAGTATCCGTACGCGTCTTTTATCGTTTAATTACCACTTCGTTTCGTGTTGTTGGGCGTCGATAAGAAATTCTTTTTACTAATCTAGCGACCTTCAAGGATTCGTGTTAATAATCTATTGGACATTTGGTAGATTAAGCAGGATTTCTACTTTTTCGCTAATTCGTAAATAGAATAGTTACATGAGAAGATCGTCCATTATCTTAACGAACACAAGTAAGTTTGCGAGAACATCAGATTTCAGTTATTAAAGTTAGAATAGTTTAATGTTATATAAAGAAAATACTACAAAAATCTGTGATACAATGAACTTGATTAATGATGTCAAATTTATTTCTATTTTTATACTTAAATTTTTATCCATTCGTCGATTAGGAGAATTTATAATTAGCTCAACTAAGTGATATTATAATAAAATAATGAATAGTAGTAATATATAATATTTGTAGCACAGAATAATGTGACAATGAGATTGTTAATAACTATTAAATATTAAATGATTTACTCGCTGGGATGTACAGAGTTTTCTTTTTTGCTAAAATTTTTTGGAATTTCTTGTATTTTAACTATGCTTAGATTGAAAATGTTTCTTATGATATCATTGAAGATAGTACATAGAAATGTACAGTCTGTGATCCATGTTGATACATTTATACATAAAAACACTTTGAGTATAGTTTGCAAAAAAATAGGTGTCCATAACATTATGCCAATTATTAAAGATACTTTAATCGTTTCTAATAATTTGTCAACTTGTATTGATTCTTTTAATATGTTGTCATATATTTTAATATGATTGCATGTCTGGTCAGATTCTTTATTGCTGTACTTCATGTTCAAACAAGAATTATCAGAAATAATATATCTAATTGAATTTTTTTCTTTCAGATTACTTAATACATTCTGACAAACAAATTTACTACGTACTTGTAGAACGGATGACAAGATAATTGGTAAGAAATATATTATAAATATAAGCACAAGAAAATACAATCTTAAAAATTTTGTTGATATAATGCATTTATCCATGGTACATATTGTATTAGTCTCAAATAACTTGTCAAAATCTTGATAGAGTTCTGTAATAACTGTTATTGTTTCTGTTGTAGAGATGTTATTTTCAATATTATAATACTGTAATCCACTTCTTTTAGTTCTGTTTCCTTTTTTCTTATTTCCTTTAGAGGTACTACTTTTTATTCGTGATATAATATCCAAAAGAATTTTTTCTTTAGATATTGGTAATAAAGCTTGTTCTGTTCTGTTTTTATCATTTATCAATAATATAGTTACGTTTTCATTATTGATAAGACTATTATCTTGAGATATATTTTTATTCATTTTATTTTTTTCAATTAAATTTAAAGGAATTGAAGAAATATTCCATGGCAGTAATAATTTTGTAATCTCTTCTTCTTCTTCATCTTTTATTTGAACATCAGTTTTGTGTTTAATCAATATATCAGACCAATTATAAGTATTTAAATCATTTGTTATTACCCATTCGTTGTAACTTATTTCAGAATCAGTGTTATTAATGTTATTTGTGCTATTATTTGGATCTGCATTGGTTTCTATATGAATTAGATTAGAAAGATTACTGAAGTTTTTACTTTTCAAATTATACGTATCGTTTAATGCCGAATTCATAATATCATATACTTTCGAAATTATTTCTTTTTCTGTTACATTCAGATTGAATAATTTCAATGAACTTGTATTATTAATGTAATCATTGTAGACTGGTATCGAAATTGTTGAATGCGAATTTTCTGTATGTATAGTGTCTTCATTTATTGTAAAGCAATTATAAAAAGAGAAAGGAGATTCATACATGCACTCTGCATTTTCATTTTGTAACATCATACCTATGCTTTGATAGTCCGCAAAATATAAAATTCCTATCGAAACAATTGGTATCAACCATTGACTTAATACACTTATTCCAACAATGCTCTTATTTTTTGCAGAGATGTTTTTAAATTTTATATTATGAAAAAACTGTGAAACCTTTTCTTCAATTTTTAGAGTAGTTGTATCTTTTGATGTTATTAATTCGTCAATTTTAGAACTTGTATCATCTGTGTTTGCAACCTCTATGTTATGATATTCTGAATTATTAATATTATCAGAAATTTTAATTGGATTTTGTTCCATTTTTATTTTTGATTGCAAATAATTGTTGTATCTATCACTAATAAATGTAGCACTTAAATTACATTGTATAGAAAATGTTATTAATGATATAAATGCATTTGTAAAAGGCATTAGAAACATGGCATTGTGCATAAGCAGATTTTTTATATTACACGTTGTTAGATCAAAATAGTTCACGTCAGATAAATTATATGTTTCGTAAAATTGTAAAAATGTATCTGAATATTTATTTAAAGTATTTATATTTAAAATCCGCTCATTTTTATAAAAATAATTTGTATTGGCCATCATATCAGCATGATTTATAAGTAGCACTATTGCTGTAAGCATTGAATTTAATACGTCAGATGTTGACAAGATATAAAATGAAGACACTGATTGACACTTAAACTTCTTTTTTATAAGTATTATTAGTACAATAAAATTGAAGAATAGTAAAATATATCCTGCTACACCTATTATTATGATGTTCATTTTGTTATTCTATCAAAATTATTATACTTTTAATACAGTTAAATTTTTTTTTATAAGTCACTTGCCTGAATACTGTCACTGAAAGAATTTCTAGACTATAACTAACTCTTCTGACTACTGTTAGTCTCTGGTAAAGCCATTGCATGTGGGTAGTGAATATGAGGGTCTGATATTATTATATAGATAATATATTTAAGTAATGATGCTTGCAATAAATATTATCTAACAAAAAATAATTTCTATGAATACTACTTTATGATGTAATATTTGAATTATATTCTTTATTATACCATGGAAATATAATGCAATTAATAATGTTATTATTAATGAAATTAATTTAATGTCCCATAATTATTATATTATTTTTATTTACAGTACTTGATTCACAATAATCATGTCTATACGTCGGAGAACAGATCCTTTTATGACTCAACGCATATGGGATGCCATAAAAATTACAATGCATCAAAGAAGTTTACCTAGCAATGACCGCATGGTACGACATTTGGCACGTGTTTACGGTATTACAGAACAACAAGCTCAAGAAGAATTGAACAAAGCTGTGGAAGATAATCTTGTTTTATTAAAAAAAGTACCATCAAAGACAGGAATTGAACAAGAAAGTTACAGATTACCGATAGAACCACCAGGAAATATCGATCATGATTGGTATTGTTACAAATGCCAAAAAGCTGGATTAGTAGAATCTTGTCAACAATGTCAAAGAGTATATCATCTCGGTTGTCATGTACCTACAAATACAAAATTAAAAGTTTGTGACTTTTGTGAGGTTAATATAATAATTATTTGAAAATATTCCAAGATATTAAGATTTTTGACATAAAATGAATAACATAAATATAAATATTTTTTTTTTTTTTTTTTTTTTTCCAGAAAATAAATACTGACACATATCCAGACAAACCTGATCTCAATCATATACTTAGCTTTACATGTGGTCATTTAAAAGCAAAATTACCACTAGAAATTACGAATCGAACTATAGTTTTTAATAATGATCCTGTTGTTACACCACCAAGTGGGTTTTCTGGGCCTACTTGGATAAGCGAAGGTGAAGATGCATGGCGTCCTGGTTATCTTATAAAAAACCATATGGATTTGGCAATTATGGACTCTAAAACCAACAAAAATGAATACAATAATTTAATGGAATTTCAAGCAGATGCACACAATATTCTGCATAATATTTTGTTATATCATGGAGGTAAAATATTTAACTTTTTAATATGTTATATATGCTATGTATTTTATTATATATTTTATCGAATTTTATAGCTCACAGTATAATCGGGGAAATGGGCAACACAATGTATCAAGATTGCTGTTATGATCTTCAAGAAATTCGTCGGTGTGCGGACTGTTACCGAATATCGAATGAGAAATCGGAGAAAATGTGGTTCTGTATACCATGCAACCCACCACATCAACTTGTTTATGCTAAACAAAAAGGATATCCTTATTGGCCAGCCAAAGTTATGCAAATTAATGGCAATGTCTACGATGTTCGATTCTTTGGGGGGCATCACATGCGGGCTAACATAGAGAAAGTTTTTATTCGGCCGATTAGTGTCAGCTTACAAAGTTTACAGGTAAACACGCGTTGCGGTATCCTTTGATTATACACGCGAAACTATTACGCGACCACTTTGAAAATTCTCGGTTTAGGTTACATGCAGTTAACAGTCTATTATATCACTGACATGATAGGAGAGAAAACCGTTGAGAGAAAACCGATTTAAAAATTGTTGTTGCACTTAGATAAAATAACTATCTTAACAACGAATTCTTGCATAGCCTTCGGAAAAGGGAAAGTGGAAAGAAATGAAGGTAATGCCTATAAGGAAACAAAAGAAAATGCGAGTAATTGTCCTATCATTGCATTTCAATTTAAATTTTGCAATGATAAATTTTTTTCACACTATTTACTACTATTATTTCATAGATAAAGAGATCAACGGCGTGGAACAGAGCTTTTGAAGAATTGAAACATCATCAACATTTACTACAAAAGTCGGGCAAGACTATTGAAGAAATAGATGGTAGCAGTGACTATGATGGACCCAAAGCTGCAAAAATTCGGCATATAGATTCAGCAAGCTTGAAAGAAACTTCTCAGCAATACAACAGCAATACAACAAAACAGATTATAAAAGACTTAAGAGTTAAAGTTGAACGTCTAAGTACTGATGGTCATGCAGAATTAACAGCATCCCAAGAGATCAAAGGAAATAAATCTCCAAGAAGTAAAGCTGGAAGCGAAGAAAGACAAGTCCCACACTTACCAGTAGCTGAGGATGAACCTACAAGAGAAATATCCAGTACATGTCCACAAGGTTTAAAGAAGGAGGGATCTCAAGAAGACATGGTAACATCTAGTTCTCAAGAACCAAGATCTAAATGCGTTCTCGTGCAAACAGAGCAAATTCAAACAGAAGTGATACCAGCAAAGGTATATTTAACTAATAATATATTATAAAATAAAATTGTAATATATACAAAAGTATATTTCATAATGTTAAAGTGTGCGTTAATATAGCATAATACTTATTTATTCTGCAACATGTTGATTTTATTTGTTATGAACAAAATGTTGCAGATAAAAAGGGAACGTAGGACTTCTGAACAACCTATAACAACGGCGTTAGAAAAACTACGACGAGAATTGGAGCTTGACAAATGCAGAGAAATGGAAAGACTTCAAGCAGAACATGCCAAAGAGTTGAGGCAACTAACTGATAGACATCAACAGATTATATCTGAAATTAAAAAGAAACAATGGGTATTTTTTTTGCATATATATACACACACATACACAATTGTTTATGTTACACACACACACACACACAATTGTTTATGTTACACGCACACACACACACACACACTTTAATTAATATTTACTATGTTGTAATTACAGTGTTACAACTGCGAAGCTGAAGCAATATATCATTGCTGTTGGAACACAGCTTATTGCAGTACTGATTGTCAACAGGTTCATTGGCAACGTGAACATAAAAGAGTTTGTCGTCGTAAACGTTAATTAAATAGAAGGCGCAATAAGCTTTATAATGATTTTATTATGAAGATCTATAAGAAATATCATGTTCGATTTTTTCTTTTTCTTTTTTTTTTTTTTTTTTTTTTTTTGTTGAGAAAAGATAAAGCACAGTAATATATATATATATATATATATTCTTGACACTAATCTATTTTCTCCTTGTAGGCTTCCTTCTTAAATGGAAGTATTTTTTATGCATAAATTTATATTTTTCGACCATACTATTTTGTATTTAACAATATAAGTTATTAATTCTTTTATTCAATTTGTACAATTGTTGTTTTTTATATGATACAACATTTTACAATTATTAATTTCAAATTAAAAACCTAGCTTGTGTTTTTACAGAAATTATCAGTTTTTCATTATAATTGTTTAGATGAACAGTTTACTCTCTTATTGTACTTTCATTTAAGTATTTGATTTAAGAATTAATTAATTATACAGAGATACAATTTTAATTGTTATTAATTATACTTATATTATTCTCTTAATAATTCTGATATTACATAACATTAAATAATAAATAAGTATATTTAATAAGTCACAGGGTTTGTGAATAAAAACAGTGATAATTCAATTAGTAAAAGATAGTATGTGTGCACAAAAGCAAATTAAAACATACTAGTCCAATATTTTTACTCATTCCACTGCTTCATACTTAAAAATATACGTATTTTAGTTTGTAATTATAAATCATCTATAGAAAGTTATTTTTTTTTTTTATTTCATTACATAACTTACATTTATATGAATATTAATTGAATTTATATTAGAACTTAGATTAAATAAATGAATTAACCATAAAGTTGTAGAACCTAATTATATAACGCAATATAATTTGTATTTTTTTCTTTTTTTAAATATTTAAGATTAACCAAGATGTTAAATAAATAATTTAGATAATAAGCATAATATTTAAAATAAGATGTTCTAATCATATGTAAATTAATATTATTTAAAAAATCATTATATTCCAAATAGGAAGTACTTATAACATGGACATATATTGATATAAAGTATAATTAAAAAATCTAGGTACTTTGAGTAGCTCTTACTTCTTTACCAACTGCTGCTAAGGCCATTTGACCCTTTTCTACAGCCTCTGTCACTTGTACATAGCTCGTTGCATCTATACTATTTAAAGAAAATTTTTCTAATAATTGTAATTCGGAAGGATCCAATTTTTCTCCAAGCTGTCTTAAAGCACTCAGTACTTCAGTACGTAATCGATCACCAGCATCTTTATTTAGTTTCCCAAGTTTTATGTCACGTTCAATTTGAAAAAGACGTTCTCTGAGTTGATCCGGCTCACGTCTTCCAAACATTCTAATTACAGCAGGAGTTTTAAAAGCTGCACTTATTGCTGCTTGAGCTGCCTGGATCATATAGTTTATATTAGATTAAATTTTTTATATTGCATTGTTGTTTATGATCAAATATGTCTATGTACCAATTGCATTGCTCCAAGTTGATTGATAAGAGTCATATTTCCAGAAATCATTCTTTGTAATGATTCATTTAATTCACGAAGTTGTTCCATTGTTTCTTCTTTGGCTTCTTCATATTCTTCATTAGTCATTTCATCTCTGCATAATATTAATATTATATCACAATATATAAATATTTTTATATAAATAATTTGTTCCCTTACTTGCACTCTTCAAGATCCTCCAACTGTTGCATTAATCTATCAAGCTGTTCTTCTAAATTTTGTTTCAATCTTTCAGTTTCTGCTTTACCGTGAGAACTCATTATCTATTAATATATATATTAACTTTTTCACTGATATTAAATAATAAAAAACTGTAGATTATATGTCAGAAATATATGTATGTTACTGTAATTTTATTTAGAAATGAAGCAATGTATATTATAATTATTATATTTCTTCATATTGTTAATTGTACGTATAATAAAATTAAGTTTAGACTTTCGTAATACACTGCTGTTTGTGTAAAGTAGAAGTTATTATTTTTTTTTTTTTTTTTTTATAATAGGAATACTTCAATATAAAGGTTAATAAATACACTGGTTTTGTTTATACTGGTTCATAGATGTCACTGATGCTCCATTTGATCATCTAATATAAGATAGTCTTTTGTTATGATCGAATTTTTGAAAAATCTATTCGGATATATTTAATAAGTATTTATAAAAGATTCAAGATGGCAAAGCCTTTAAATCTTCTCGAAGGGTTTACATTGAGGTAATAAAAAAATTAAATTATATTATTGGTACGTATTAATAACTTGTATAACAATAATTGTATTTTTCAGTGATTTATTATCTCCAGACGGTTTTACTCTTGAAATTGGAGATGAATATTTGGAGAAAGAAGAAGAGGATAAATTTTCATACAATCCGAACGTATTTTTGTCAAATGAAGAATTAATCAATATGCTTAATATGGATGATTTTAAAATTGACGAAGCTGAAGAAAATAATGAAGCTACAGGTTCTGTGCCTTTTGGAATAAGTTTCGCAACAATGAAAACAAAAATGACTCCAGTAACAAAAGATGGAAAGGTATACTGTAATTAATAATAAAAATTAAATATTTTTAAAAATCAATATTAAATAACATTATTAAATCATTGTTAAATATAGATTATGAAATTAATTAAACAAAAAGGAGTTGGTAAGGTTGTACCATACAATGCTCAGGTCACTATTAAATATATTAGTTATTTTGAATATAATGATGAACCTTTTGATTCTACATATGCGCATGGACATCCAAAAACTATTCGTCTTAATCAGAACTTATTAATTCCTGGACTTGAACTTGCTATAACCAGTATGGAAAAACATGAAATTGCTGTTTTTATTATTCATCCTGATCTTGCATATGGAAGTATTGGATGTCTTCCTCGTATTTTACCTAATGAAGAAGTTATGTTTATTATTCATCTGGTTGATTTTCTTGATAATGGGTCAGCTTATTCTTATCTTAATCTAAACATGGAAGAACAAAAATTATTTTCAAATATTGTTAAAAGTGTTAATGATTTGCTTAATACAGCCAAACATAATTTTACAAACATGAAGATTAAGAAAGCCATAAGACAGTAGGTAAAGAAAATATATTTTTATTTGATACAGATATTAAGATATTACTAATATTTTAATTTATTTGTATAGATACGAAAAAACCATACGTTTATTGGAAGATGCAGAATTAAAAGATGATAAGGAAGAAGAAGAAGTGAAAAGATTACTTTCCAGATCTTACAATAATCTTGCAATATGTTTTAATAAAGAAGAAATGCCACGTCGTGCCGCCATAGCTTGTAACAAAGTACCCATACCTACTGTTAAAACTTACTTCAAGTATATTTTTCATTCATAATGTTTCACAAGTGATGATATTAGAAATCGAAATTAATTATTTTATTTTTTATATTGTAGTCGTGGCAAAGCACTGGTAAAAATTGGGGAATATACAAAAGGTTTGAAAGAATTGCAAATTGCATACAAAATGGAACCAAACGATAAAGACATATATAAAGAAATTTGTTTGGTTAGTGTGATATTATCTTATTATTTAATATTTTTTCTTTTTTTATTTCTAAGGTTTTCACGTTTACATATTATATTATTTTCATGGAAAATGATAGGCAAATGAAAAATATAATAAACACAATGAAATAGAAAAACGATTATGGTTCAATTGTTTCAATTCTTCTAAGCAAGAGAAAAACGAATGTGAATTTCAAAAAGCAGCTCGAGAAATGTGTGAATCTTTTGTTCGAGATAATTATCTATCAAGACAACCATTTCCTGAAGGTTTAACACGAGAAGAAGAGAATTATATACGCGAGCAAGCAGCTGCATTTGGTCTTAATGTTGTTTCTCAAACAAAATATGGCAAGAACATATTATATTTAACTAAAATAAAATATTGACTATGAAGATCTCTTTAGTGATAAGCAAACTAAAAACAGTATTTTTCGTTTTTTTACGAATAGATTGTGAAACGATCTAAAAATCTAAAAATAAATAAAAATAAAAACAATATTTTCTTTTGTTAATAGTACATAAAAGATAAATGTATAATTTTTTATTTTTATATAATTTTTTTATAATTAAATATTCTATAATTATATAATAATAATATATATACATATATATATATATATGCATGTTTTCTGATTGTTATCTTTTTATTGCCCAATAAACAAAAAGAAAATTCATTCTAGATAAATCAACGTAAATAATGTACTGTAGCGGAACTGATTAGATGACAACCATTAGTTAGGCAACAATTTTATCCTATTATTTTACTCAACAAAATTTATGAGAATAGAAAATTGTATTGTTACATAAGATTCGAATACATAAATAATGGTACTTACTGTGGGTCCAAGTAAATGCAATCATGACGTTCATCGCTTGCTTTGTGTTCTTATTAACTCTTCTAAGTAAATATTTTACAGTTCTCTTTTAATATAGTATCTAAAGTTCTTAGTTGATGAAATTGATAGTAAAGTTAATCTGTTATATTTACAGATTTATCTAAAAGTTTCACCAATGATATGCAACGCCATTTAACGGCGGATAAATCGCAAAGATTTTTTTTAGGAGAAGTACTTTTAGATGCTCTTGTTAATCCAATGGGAACAATTCAAGATGACCGATCGGTTATAAATAATATTTTCGATCCGAATTTGATATCCGAAGATGTTACATTCGAGCTCTATACAAATAACAATCCTGTTCAAGGATATTTTTTGAAGGTGAATGATATAACAGGTCTAAAAGAATCTCCATTTGAATCTGAAAATCCTACAAAGATACTCATTCATGGATGGACCGATAGTGCAAACACATATTGGCTGCAAGATTTTCGACAAAATTATCTAACAATAGGTAATTATAATGTTATTAGCATCAACTGGTTCCCTGCATCGTTGAAAGAGTATGGGATCGCCGCGAAACTAACTCGTCAGGTTTGTATGAAATGAATCGATTTATACAAAAAATAAATTGTTAATTTCTAAAATTCTGGATGTATATATCATGCTTATAGATCGGCAAATATATAGCAGAAATGTTGGATTTTCTTGTCTCACAAACTGGCCTTTCGCTGGACGATGTACACATACTAGGACACAGTTTAGGAGCTCATGTTGCTGGATTTGCTGGAATGAAAGTATCCGGAACAATTGGAAGAATAACTGGCATGGATCCAGCTCGACCAGGTTTCGAATCTTCGAATTTGAACGATTTAAGAATTCGTCTAGATTCTAGAGATGCCAAATTTGTGGATATCATACACACTTGCGCAGGAACACTTGGCTTCATCAGATCAATTGGTCATGTTGATTTCTATCCAAACGGAGGAACATTCAGGCAGCCTGGATGTCCTGTCTTCTCAGCTCGTAAGTGATTTTAAATTATTAATGTTTTTTTTTCTTTTTTTTTTTTTATAAGCGTAAACTTTTCTTGTTTTTATTGTTATCAGAATACTGCAGTCATGCTAGAGCTCACGATTTTATGGGCGAATCTATTATCAATCCATTAACTTTTAGTGCTGTTCAATGCAATAGTTGGATAGAATTTAAAGCAGGCAAGTGCAGAGATAACTCTACTATGGTGTTCATGGGTGAAAACGTTAATCGGAATGCTCGTGGTTCATTTTTCTTGGAAACTAATGCACAACCACCATACGGAAAAAATGAGATATAAAAGTAGAACGTCAAGTATGATTTTTATATCACTCTCAATATATTTTCGTATCTATAAGGTGGTACAAATGTATATATTTAAGAAATATGACTATATTTATGGTACAGGACTGACTGGATATTAATACTTGTTAAACAATTAAGATCAATTAAGATCATTTATATCGTTCCATTGACGATGTGATCCTCTCCCGACGGTTTCTCTATCTCATCTCCAAAACGCATTCTATATTTCCGACGAACGATGTCCCATTCGACGACATTTTCTATTTTTGACGCTTGATTTAATGATGATTGGCTTTGAAAAGGACTCGAACGTAGTAGAGCGAAACCATCGTTGACCTTGTTGCGATCCAATGAAAGTATTTTATTATCCTACAGAGGAAGAAACTTTATTAGATTCAACACCTTAAATTTTCCTATTTCATCGACTTGACTGTCATAACGTACTTGAGAGAATGAACTTTTCAGAAGTGTATGTTTCGTCATAAAACCATGCATTACGTTCATTTTCTTCTTTTTATTTGCTTTCTTCTTACACATCTTTACAAGATATATTATCCACGTGGTGAACAGATTTAACGGCGAGGGAGCAGTTCGTGTTCTTAAAGAAAGAAAAATTGTTAAAACGTCAAAGTTATCATCCCCATAAACAATATTTACTTTTGCATTTTACGTATAAGTTTACTGAGTCCGTATTTCCACTCTATATCACTTTGCGACTGGATACTTTGATAAGTGTCACTCATCATAGCAATTAGAAGATTGATCAAGATGATAACGGTGACAAGCATGTAGAGAGAGAATGATATCTGGAAGCATAGCAAACGTTTAATTGGAGCAAACGATATGGAATATAAATTTTTCTTTGAAAAATCACCAACCTTAAATAAATATATCGTCCATTTTGGTTGCCTCGTCGAAATCGAGAAATCGTCGGTATTCTTTTGTCCAAAAATTGCGAAGAAAAGATATTCCGTAATGCGGATAGGATTGACTCTTACTGAAAAAAAATCTATGTTATAACATCATTCTTAGCAACAAGGATGTAAAGAGAAATGTTACTCGCAGCAATCCTATCTCTACTGATATCTTACTTTTCTAATTTCCTAATGATCTAAGCTTTGATATATCGCATAATGATTGATTCATATCAATTCGTGCTGACTGATTTCATCTTTCATCAAGTATCATTGATTCGCAATCGATTGATAAAAGGAATGTTCGTTGTTCTAATAAACCTAATAACATGCGATGATATGTGTCAGAAGAAATGTTGATTAGGTCGACATAGAGACAAAGAGAGAAAGAGAGAGAGAGAGAGAGAGAGAGAGAGAGAGAGAGAGAGAGAGAGAGAGAGAGAGAGAAATAGAGTGAGAGAAGACATATGTTAAAAATATACTCATAACTAATAAACCTTTAGATGTATGAAATGACGCTAAAATATGCGAATATAACAATCATCTAACAGCGTTGAGAACGGTATAAGTATATTCTGTAGTAATTAGGTAAATGTAAACGCATCGCATGTGCATGATGAAATGAATATTCTTTTGAAGTTTTGTGGGGTATGATTGATCATTAGCTGACAAGCTTCGGAATTCGCATGCCACATCGAGTACATTACGCTACGTGAAAGACTACAGGCAAGTTATACACTCATAATTTTTCTTCGGCACGATTAGGATGCATTCTAATTACGTGACCAACTTTAACAACGACTGTTCTTAATCACTTCTTGTGAGTAACGTCAGCACATTGCCGTGCGTGCATTACTACGCATTACTAACATTATTATGCAGCCGTATTCTACCATCAAAAAAATAGATCGATTATAAAATTTATAACAGAGAGAAAGTACATACTGTATATATATATATTTATATATATATATATATATATATATATATATATATTACATTACATATTACATGTAAGTGACTAACCGTAACACATAATGTGAGGTGGTTCCCTAACCAGACAGGTATATCCATGGTAGCCTCTAAAATATGGTACATGTAATCGATTAGATCATGGATCGACGTGGGATTAGGTCGAGCAGAATAAGTAAAGCGTATACCGCTAACACAAATCGAGATCTAATCGTTTATTTGAAAAAAAAGACCTATGTCTTAAGTTCTTATGAACGATAAAAGTACAAAGAATTATCTAGTCGATCAGAGATGAGTTTAGAGTTCCTCTTCGCCTCATCAGGCATTTGGTAAGTCAGACGTCACGTTTCTAGCTGGACCAATGGACGATGCTTCCTCAAAGGCAATTAAAGGATCCATCTCTGTAGTTTCTTTTATCTCTTCGATAGCTTTCTCAACATTTTCACCGTAGAGATCACGATATTTTCGTCTAACGACATCCCAATCAACGACATTGTCGATCCTAATCACATTGTTGAAGGACAGCTGACTTCCTAATGGACTCAAATGAACTACAGACAAAGCCACACTGTCCTTGTGCATAACTTGCGTCTTCTTCACCTTCGACAGCCACTTTGCTCCCATTTTCGAACGTGGCGACATTCTAGTTCTTTCCAAGCCCATCATTTGAATCAAAGATGGTCTTTGCTTTTTAGCCGCACGTTTCTTGCAGAGTTTGAAGAAGTACGTTATCCAAGTAGTTAAAAGGTTCAGAGGAGACGGCGCCGTGGTTGTTCTATATCATCAAGAAAGATAATCAATTTCGTACCTAATGATCATTGATATCTTGAGATAGTACAATAATGTATGATACATTACGATTAAGGGACGATAGAGAGACACAACTAACGAAACAAAGTTTAAACTCGCTGTCGTTACCTGTGCATATTTCTAATGAGTTTGCTCAATCCGTATTTCCACTCGATATCAGATTGAGCTTGTATCCGTTGATAAGTGTCACTCATCATGGCGATCAGGAGGTTTATCAACACGACCACCGATACCAACATGTAAATGCCGAAGGCGAGCTTGAATAGGATCGTGGTCCAATCGGGTTGGTCAGGTTCGACCTTGAACTGCTCATGAGTGGTCTGTCCGAAGATGGCGAAGAACAATAATTCAACGGCCAGTATCGGGCTCATCCTGACTGGAAATACGTGCCAACAAGATATCTGATAAGACACATCGACGCGAGAAAGAAAGAAGCTTGCATACAGATAATAAAAACATTCTCTTGCATTGTTTACTCCCTGACATATGTCATGCCAGTGCCGGTTAACAATTGTTTAATATTTTTATGATGATTTTTAGTCGTTCTAAGGACCTACGTTTACGTCAGTGCATTCACACACTAGGCTCCTTTCGTTCCTGCCGAATACGAGAAAAAATCAATCTGCACGTAACTTTGGACATGCATTGTGTTATATATATAAGAAAAGACTTAAACTTTTAATACTTCGCGTAAGATCATTAAAAATATTCTTAAAGATATATTCCTGTGCCACATACAATGAGATTTCGAGCTAGTGTAGATGATTCGATGCAAACGCATGTTTCTGGCCATGCTGACTGAGTAGGACGCAATCCCAAACTCGTAAAAATAAAGGTGACATTTATTTTGTATAAATACAGGCACATGTAGACTACGTAACGTAGACTTACTTAGCTTCTAAAATCATATAGACGATCGTCCTTCGAAAAGCCCGCTCTTTCATCTCTCCTTTTGTCTCTTTTCTTCTTTTTTTTTTCTTTTTTTTTTTTTTTTCTTTTCTTAGTCAGCTACATAGACCTAAAATTATTATTTTAATTTTCACGCTCGCGAGATCATATTTATATAGGTGAAGTGGTCATCGTTGTTGGAACCATCGGAGCATTTGAAACATTAGGTCCATAATCATCCTCATTCTCATTTTCGTTGTCCTTGTCATCCTTCTCCTTGTCCTCTTCTTTTTCAGGCTCGTTCCCAGTCAAAGCAAGATACTTCTTCCTGATTGAGTCCCAATCAACCACACTCTCGATTCTGGTAGCACTGTTAAAGGACAATTGACTGCCTAATGGGCTCAAATGCATTACCGAAAGAGCCACGCTGTCTTTTGGTTGGACCTGTCCCTTCTTGACTTTGGCCAACCACTTTGCACCCATCTTGGATCTTGGAGATAATCGACCGCTACGTTGAAGACCCATCATATGTACCAGAGACGGTCGTTTGCGTTTTGCTGCACGTTGTTTGCATACTTTGATGAAGTAAACGATCCAGGTTGTTAGCAAGTTTAACGGGGAAGGAGCTGTAGTCGTTCTGCAACATGGAAACGTATTTTCAATGTGTTCCAGCTTAATTACCTGACTCAATGGATCATAGAAAAAAACAAAGGATCTAATTATCATCATTCTAGGCTATATTTTATCAGGTAAATGAAGCTAAAGATATACACGACAAATTAAATGTCACATTTGCTTACATTTTCGATCAGAGATTAACATTAACATTAAGTGTTAAAGAAAAAAATGTCAGGCTTACCTGTGCATATTACGGATCAATTTACTCAGACCGTATTTCCACTCAATATCCGATTGTGCCTGTATCCGTTGATAGGTGTCGCTCATCATTGCGATAAGCAGATTAATTAACACCACTACCGAGACCAACATGTACACGCCGAAGGCCAGCTTAAAGAGGACCGAGGTCCAGTCCGGCTGATTGACCTCGACCTTGAGCTCGCTGTGTGTCGTTTGACCGAAGACGGCGAAGAACAGATACTCGAAGGCAAGTATAGGACTCATCTTTACTGGAATTCGAGGTACACAGAGGCATCTTGATTTTCTTTATCTTTTCTTTTTGCAGTCTTGCTTTTCGCTTGCTTTTTCGTGCCATGGCAGGCTGTGGCTACTGGTGGTACTCACTACGAATTGACTCGCGTGTTTACCATAACGAATACATAACGAATGAACGAACGAACGAACGAACATGCTCATGCTTTTGTTATACAATCTGTGGTCATGCTCGGGCTGAGTATAACGTTGAATGCATGCCAAATTTGATTGATTTAATTTGTTTTTATTTATTTGTTTTTTTTTTTCTTGAACTTGTATTATTCTCCTTCTTTACGCATAGTATGCGTGTGTTGTTTTTTGATTACATTATATATTATATGTTATAGATTTGTTCTAAGTCGACGCGAAGATATTCAAGCCCTGTGTAAAGAACTGCAGTTAATCGAAGACGCTTCAAGATGCAGTAATCCTTTGGAATTTCTCAACACAGTCACATTTCATTATTTTTATCAATTCCATTGATTCTTTTGGGTTAGGTGATCCCTTCCAGATGAACTTCACTTTCTTCGTTTTAACAATGAAACGCGTGCCGGAATACACCACGAACATACGTACGTGTTTGATTTGGTTTGCTGTGAGTGAAAGGATGCAACATGCAAATTAAATCATTTTCAGCATCCGGATCACTGAAGATCTCATTGACACGACGTGAATATGACACGCTGATTCTTGATATAAAATTATAACATTAGATGCGATGAATGCATGCAAATTTTCTCAATGAGATTGCCTTGATCAAAGGTGTCAACGTACCCAGTTAGTCAACAATTCGCCTTCAACAAAATTGAAGAGAGTCGTAGTACACTTGGGAGATGTTTCTAAATGGGGAATCGAACGTAAAAATAATGATAGCGTTCGTATTTCAAAAATCGATTCATTCATTTGGCATTCTTAAGACGTTGTTTATACAAATATTATTATCTTCCCCATGAGACGTAAAACGCGAGCTGGAGTCGAGAAAAAACGCAAGTACGTAAATATTATACAAAAGGATGAACACAGACAATCGGGGAAAAGAGGGTGGTTGCAAAGTACACGGCACATAGAAAATTGGCGTTCCGACGACATGCCGACAGTGAATTAGCTTTGAATTGTTTATCGTGATATACATATAAACGTACGCTGCGTTTCGGAAGTACTTTGCGTGTTTGCTCTAGGTCTTTCTTTTTTTTTTTTTTTTGATATATTCGTTTATAATAGAATAAATTCGCTTTCTTATTTAGACTTCAAATCTGCAGGTATACGAGAATGTTTTGTAGTTGTTGGGAATTTTATAAAAATAGAAGAGAGTCCTGCGATCCTGTGAAAAATAAAAAAATAATAATAAATAAAAAAAACTGTCCCTATCCGAATCGCAGCGAAAATGCACGGATGGAAAATACAGTTCTCGTTGATTTTGCAGAATATTGCTGTTATCAGGCAACAGTCTTGGCAGGCAGCACACAGACATGGCGTACATCATTCAAGATGCACAATGCAGACGGGACGACACTGACATCGAGCGTGTCCTGCATTCAATTTTTGCGCACGTGCCACTTTGCTTTGTTTTATCATTGTTCTCAATTTGCTGCTTTGTCATTCTTGTCGATCTGGCAAAACTTACTCTCTCGGGAGTTATCGTCACAACATTCATTCTTTTTCCTGTAGCGGCTGAAGTAATGAGGAGTCGCCGGTGCTGGCGTCTCCGTTATCCATTCCGTTAAATTGGCGGACATATCTATTATTGTAATTTTCTCTAATTACGTCTATGCCTCGTCTTAAACGAACCTAATTTCGACCATTCCTATTATTTTAATTAATGTACAATATCTCAAGTATGAATCAGCTTTAGCCTCTGAAAAGTTTCCCCAGTAGAATTTCCCTTTGGTGTGTATATATATACATATGTATACACATATATATACATAAGATATAGAAACATTTACATATTTACATATTTCACGGATAATAAATCATCGATTAGTCGAATGAAATTCCTAAAGATGTTAATAACCCGAAGGAATTTGTACGTGATCTACAATTACCAGGAAGCACGGATGATCTGCTACAGAAAACGGTGTCTTGCTTCATTTCATTATTCGGACGCAATGACGTACCGATGAAAAAAAAGCACTCGCTACATCCTATTAAATAGTTCTTTTTTTTCTTTTTTTGGATTAATTGGCCTTAAAGCAATTTTCATTTCTAAAATCTAAACCTACGTTAACATCTACGCTGCTACCATCTATATATGCGATCATATTACGGATATAAAAAAAGAATATTATAATAAATAAATTTATAATGTCGGCAAATCTGAAGAGAGCGAAGATAAGATAAAGGAAACGCTATCAGCTGGCTCGTACATATCACGAAGCCAGTTATAATAAGTGCATCGAACTTACCGTCGTGAAAGGCACTCTCAGTTTTTCTCTCCACAAGATTTGCGTTGTTCTGGAATGCTTGGTTGAGAGCGACGAAGTGCATGGAAAAGCCAAAGACGAAGATGGCCAATACAGCGAGGAATCTGGCGAGATCCTTCATGAGATTGCCGATGATGATGGCCCATGGTCCAAAGAGATGATGGAAGGATAAAAAGTCCAGGATCTGAACGCAAGCTAGCAGGAAACTCAAGGCGAAGAGTTGATTTCTTAGATACAATAACGTTGGCCAGTATTCATGTTTGATTATGACGAATCCCATAAGATGAAAGGCAACACCGAAGATACCGAAGAGAAGGACTGCTAATTTGATCCAGCCGAGGCCACTTTTATCACTGGGATTGGTCAATTCGAAGAGTAGAAGACCCGACAGCATTACCAGAAGACACCATTCGTACCAGTATGGTAATAAATTGGGTCTTAAGACTGGATATATTGGTGTTATTCCAACTAGCATCAGAAATACCATCAGATAAATGTGGGACGTTAAGTACGACATGAATTTTATGATCGGCACGTTGTTGTACTTGTGCCCAAGTGGCAGAGCAAAGACTACCCAAACTGGTGGGCAAATCAGAAAGGCTATGAATAGGAGAATCGTTCTGAAAGCGTTCCAATTTAGGCTACCTTGCCAAAGTTCTTGGAGATAACGCTGTACAACTGTATGAGCTATCACCTCTTTTTGTTCATTTTCAATCAGCACATCCAAGAATTCTACGTTTCTTCGATCCATAGACGTTAAAATTCTGCCAGCTGAATCGGCACCTGCCGCAAGAGCGAGTAATTCTGTTGCCATAGCCTCGCATTGCTTTCCAGCTGCAATCAAATCTTTTGCTCGTTCCTTTTCCTTCTCCGATAATTTCATATAGATGTTGGAGAGTTTCGCTGCAGTGTCTACAGGTGCTGGAGAGACCAGAACAAACTCTTCGATTGGCTTGTTGTTATTACTCTTGCTGCAAACCATCATATTGTAGACGAACTGAAACAAAAAGATATTTTCTTATCAATCAGTTGTGGGCTCTTTAAGGCTGAAGAACAAGCTATATTAATCGAATTGATAAATCGTTAATAATACGTATAAGAACTAATAGAATTTTGCAATGTTTTTTTTTTCCCTCGAGTAAAAAAACGATATTAAGTAGAAGGTCATAACTCCAGTTCCATATCGCATGTACTACTCGCGTTAAGTGCTAAGTTATTACTTTGGAATATCGATTCTAGCAATGAGAAAAGTTTTCTCAAATATAAGCGTGAGTTTTCTCATGGTTATCTTTGAGAAAACTTTTAAGGTAAGCGTGAAGAGAATGATCAGAGTGTGGTTCTAGCATTTTTCATCATTGGCCTTGATAACGCATAAAACTTTATACCCTTCTGTCTTCCATAAGAGCATAGGTATCGTGTTCCTTTTCCATCAAATACTTTAATACGTCATTATGACCTTCGGAAGCGGCGAACCAAATAGGAGCACAACCAAGGTTTGTCTCGCTTTTTGGTGAAGCTCCACTTTCGACGAGTAGTTTGACGACGTCGAGGTAACCAGCACGAGCAGCACAGTGCAAAGGAGTCCAGCCATTCTTATCGGTAGCATTTATCTCTGCTCCTTGACCTAACAGTACCTCTACCATTTGATAATGCCCATGTGTAGCAGCTATATGCAGGCCAGTTTTTCCATAACGATCGGAACTATGCAACAATTCTGCTGATCTGCTGAGAAGAAGACCAACTACCGTGATATGCCCACCGAAACAAGCTAAATGCAAAGGGTTGAATCCATTTTCAGTCGTCGCTGCGTCCACCTAAGAAAATATAGATATTTTTTTTTATATACTATTCCATTCCATTTTCAGGTTTATTCAGACGTAATCATTCTGTACTATCGATTACCTGTACTCCAGCAGAGTTTAAAAGAAGTCGTACGACATTTTCATTTCCTGAATAGGCTGCTAGGTGAAGGGGTGTCATGCCAGATTCGCTTCCTAATTCTCCTACCAAAGAACCGCCGGTAGGTGGATCGGATTTAACAGTTCCAGGAACATTTGTCAGTAACTCTCTGACGGTATCTGGAAAAAATTATAAAAAAAGAAGTAAAAGCAATACTTCGAAAGAAATTGTTCATTGTTAGTCCGTTTTTGTTAATTTCGTCGAAGAATTTAGATCGATTAGGCATTTGAGGCGACGAGATACAAATAATTAACGTGACTGGACGGAACAAAACGGTACTTGAACATTCTTGCACGAATTAGTTATACAGTTTCTAAGTTCGTGACCAGCGACACCTAAATCTTAAACTTCGAGATCAGGTATTTACGATTAGGTAGAGTAAGTGGTCTTGAACTTTCGACCGTCGGTTTAAAATAAAACTCGAACAATACGTTGATTTTCTTTGAAATTCACCTAGTGCATGGTAATCCGGAAAAATTCCTATGAGCAAAGGAATTTCACATTGTTGTTTAATCGCTTGATCGTGTTTTACGAGCTCACGATAACTATTATTTTATTCGATAAATGTTGCTCTACCTTTTATTATTATTCTTTGAGGAGGGAAATCTCAACTATTTCTTACGATCTAAAGATTATGCATTTCCTTTTGCACGAAAGATCTTATAAGATAAGTCTTTAGAAAATCTATGCAACGCAACAAAAGAGATTTTCGCGTGACCGCAGTCGTCCTCGCGGGGAAAGTCTCACTTTCGGCGACATTACCGATCACTACATTTGACTTTAAACCAGTCGGAAGAGTCACGCGAAAATCCTATTCTTCAATGTACATATGCCAAAATACGTGCAGTAGGGTACGGTGAAAAACGATTTGCTGGAATCACGCATGGGTATGATGACCCTTTTCTAATGGCCAAACCAAAATGTTCGTACCAGTTACCGTTGATATATGTTAGTTAAATACGCAAATAATACTGCGGTTTAAGGATGATAACGTGCATTACAGCGTATAAGTGAAACTTTAATTAAAAATAGATTCTCAATCGAGTTTTTCAATTGAATATCAATTGACTATGGTGTATCAGAAGATTAGAAAAGTTTTTGAAAATTTGAACATTTGTTAAATATAAAATATGCTTACCAGCTTGGCCAAAGTAAGCAGCAACGTGGAGCGCCGTTACACCCAATTTCTTGCTCGAAATTCTCAAAGATTGAGAAGATTTCATCACTTCTAGGACTTGTCCGTGTCCGTGTTGAGCTGCCAAATGTACCGCAGTGAAGCCGGCACGATTTTCATCGGCACAGGAAGCACCAGCTCTTACCAAAGCCCTTACTACTTCAGCATGACCACCTTCGGCAGCTAACTGAAGGGGCGTTGCCTCGGTCAGCTTGTTTCTCGCTGAAATTACACCCTGACGATCAAATTTCATTAGTTCCTCGATCACTCTTACGCTTCCCTGCATCGCTGCTATATGGGCACATGTATTTCCGTCTTTGGTGCATGCCATCACCAAACTCGGGTGCCTTTGTAGAAAGAGTTGTGCCACTTCAGCGTAATTATTCATGGCAGCGGCATGAATTGGTTTCTGTCCTTGATCGTCGGTAGCGTCTATGCTAGCACCAAGTTCCAAGAGAAGCTTGCAGACTTCCAATTGACCAGCGCCTGCTGCCAGATGAAGAGGAGTCTGTTTCCTCAGTGTAAGCACGTCTATCGCAGCACCATGATCTTGAATGAGAAATCTAACCAAATGAGAATAACCGTTCATTGCTGCCAAATGCAATGCCGTTCTACCAACGCGAGACTTTGAGTTTATGAAGGCTTTGTTTGCCAGTAAGGCATCACAGACTTGAAGATAGCCATGTTCAGCAGCTAAATGAAGTGCCGATCTACCCTCCAAGTCGAAGACGTCTACTCTGGCATGATTAGCTAAAAGATTCGTCACCAATTCCATGTGACCACGATGAGCCGCTATCAACAGAGGTGTCCAACCAACTGCACTTTGCCTATTCAAAGCTTTCTGAACTTCTGTAGCTGACATATGGCTGATCATTTCGGAAAGTACTTCGTTGTTTCCAGCTAAAGCACAGTAATGGAAAGCAGATTCTTGAGCTTGTTTAGTTTGCAACGAAACATCGGCTCCTCCTTCCAGAAGTGCACGTACAACTGCACGATCATCTCCTGGTATTACAACCTCGGATGGTTCGATCTGGGCGGCGTAATGCAAAGCACTGGCACCTTCGTTCGTTACGCTGTTCACGTAAGAAGTTGCAACTTCTGGTCCTTTGTTCTGCTTCACAAATTCGATTAGATGACGGACCACGTCTGCTCGACATCCCCTGCAGGCCAAATGTAGAGGAGTTTCACCGTTCTAACAAACAAGAGATAAAACGTACAAGTAGAATTGAAGAATTAAAATAAGAATAATCGATCAAATTTTAACACAAAGTCCGATCATATAAGCCTGTCAACTCTAAAAATACGTACATTGGTGCCATCATCGAGTGCCATTAAGCGTGTTTGTTGTGCAATAATCGTTGAAATATAAAGAAGTAACTCAAAGGTTGATAGCCAAACGTATTTCTCATACTTTCGACTTAAACATTGGATCACCGCCGTCCTCGAGGAGAAGTAATAAAGTTGCTAAGTTCCCGTGACTGGCAGCTACATGAACAGGAGTTTGTCCATCGTCCGTTGTCAAATTGGGCCCAGCTCCAGATTTTAATAACATCAAAGCACACCTATCGCCGTCTGGAACTCGTGCCGCTATATGAAGTGGAGTCTCTCGAAGTTTGCCGCCTCTAACGTGCACCTCAGCTCCATAACCCAATAAAGTTTCAACGACAGCTGGCTTGGCACTCTCCACGGCTATGTGCAACGCCGTGTAATTGTCATTCGTTGTTGCATCCACCTGTTCAAAAGAATTTCATTGGAGTCAGTCCTTCGAAATCAATTTATTTGATTCATTGAGAAAGAAAATTAGGAAAAAAAATGACCTTTTCTCCTCTTTGTAGGAGTGTACTAATGATTCCCACATGACCATATTTAGCTGCAGTATGAATAGATCTTGCTCCACGTTTATTTGGCATGTGCAAGTATACGCCCTTTTTAAAGAGCATCGTGGCACATTCCGAGTGTCCATTCAAAGATGCTATATGCATTAGGGTGGAGCCGTCTTTCGTTCTCTCAAATATGCTGGCCTTGAATTTATCAGCAAGAAGTTCAATTATCGTGGCATGCCCATTCTCCGCAGCCAAGTGCATAGGCGTTCGATCTTGATGATCAGCGATCGATGCCGATGCTCTAACACCGTAGAAGTACTTGACTAAAATCTCGTCACCTTCGGCACTTGCAATGTGCAATGCTGTTTGACCTTCACCCTGCAAAAATTTATCTCTTATTTGCTAGATAGATAGAAATAATATATCTAGAAAGTAGAATCTTCTTTTAGGACCTACGAAGCGTCTCCTGATAGATCTCATGAACGACTAAAGAGTTATTCTCGAACTGGACTCGAACTAATATACGCACTGCGACGATTAACCTCATACATTACGCATGCATGCCCTTCAACCCTAGTATTAGCAATAATAATTAAATAAAGCTGACGTAATTCGTTTGTTGGAGAATTATAAAACAGTGTGTTGGAGAGTTATAAAAAGCATTTTTAGCATTTTATCCACTACGATTGGTTAAAGAGATTTTAAGTCACAATGAATGATGACTTTTCTCATTACGTTGAACACGCATTTCTTAGCCTAGTAAACGCCTATGAAATTATGTTGACTCGATCGATACCATAGCCAGCGCGAAAATGTGATTAACATTTGTTGGAAGTTTAATTGTGAGACTTGTTGCTCTAAGAATTTCATTATTATATTTTCTTCTTGGATTAATATACATACATTTTGCATGTCTACTGGAGCTCCGTAATCCACCAGAATCCGAACCATATCAATGTCCCTTCGTCTAGCAGCCAAATGAAGAGCCGAGTCTCCAGCTGGAGTGGTAGCTCGAAGTTGATCTGGTGCTTGCTGAGATAATAATTCGCGGCACATGGATTGATTACCAGCTTCAACTGCCAAGAGAAGTGGTATCTTTCCTCTCTATTAATCGATTAAAAACATATTCTGTTTATTAGCATTATTTATTTTGTGATTAACAGTAATCGAGAACATTTTATTAATTTCATTTCTAACAGGAATTCTATTAGAAGAAAAGGAAACATAAATCTCTCAAAGGTTTACAGAGCAGACTGATATTTATAGATATTGTTTATGATAGTCATATCATTGCTACGATATTGGCATCGTTGAGAAGAGAGAGAGAGAGAGAGAGAGAGAGAGAGAGAGAGTGAGTGAGACGGAAAAAAGGGAAGAGAAGAGGAGAATTACGAGGCAACTCGGTGCCAGGTAGCGATGTTCACCGATTTGCAAGGCTCGTGTCACGCGAGAAGCAAACGGGGATCGTTTTGAAATTTTTTATCTTCTCCCAATTGGAACTTTTGTATGTATTAACTTGTGATCGTGCCTTCGGTGCAAGGAATTACACGAACGTTCCACTTTTTAACTTTAGTACGTATCATCGATCTTCCTTACCGAAAGCAAATAGTCAACGAGTTATTTCATTCAATAATGAATTTTAAAACATTCCTGATGCATTTACTTACACCATCGACTTTCAATCTGATGTCTTTTCCTGCTGCAGCCAGTAAAGCACGTAAAATTGATGTTGCTGTACCAGTTTGCCTAGATGCAACCAAATGAACTGCCGTTTGTTGCCTCGACTAGGAGAAAATATTTTTTAGAATCTTTTAGATTTTATTACATCGTTTAAATTTCTTTTCAATTCTTACCCCTCCGGTAGCATAAGGATCAACACCTTTTTTCGAAAGAAGCAACTTGACCACATCTTCTCTCGAATACATAGCAGCAATGTGCAAAGCATTATAATTGTCCTAAAACAAATTAAACCCCTATAACACATTATTATCGTTTTTAAAGAGATTATTCCACGAACTTTATAATCGTCACAGTTCAACCTTCTATTACATAGATTAATTCAAAGAGAAGCATTTCCCAAAGTAATAAAGTAACACGATTGTAAATTGCACTTCGCCGCACCCAACATTAATCGGACGAATCACGGCAATGGTTCCGCCGTTTCAATCACAGTTTATTAGCGTGCAATTTGAAAATTATATTGGAGCCATAGCGAGGGCGGTGGCCGTGGTCGATATTCAACCGACAAAGTACACGATCGTGCTATTGTGTATGAAACTTTAATATGGATATGGAAATTCCATCAAATTCCTTACAGTGATAAACGAAAATCTTTGTATATTAGATGTTCGATTAGACAATTCATGTTAGAGAATTAAAACGATAGCTATAAAAAGGATCATTTATTATGATCGATTCGAGATTGAGATTGAAAGTGAACGTCTGTAATGACAAATAAATCTATCAGTATTATGTAATGTAACTTTAATGAATCCTCGGGCCAAGAGCTCAGTAGAGTATTCTTAATCTTAACATGATTATCGGACTTCCTTTTTTTTTTTTCGTCCTATTAAACTGACCGGCCTAGTTGCTTACTTACAAACACTTCGTTAGCTCGACAAGCCCCTTGGCCTTGGCCCTCATTCACGCAATCCTAACACGCTCTCAACTTTGCACGGATTAGAGGTAGATCATTAACTGTACAGGTTTCGTGTTTAACGTTACCTCTGCTAACTCAAGCTGGTCAAGCGACATTATTATGTGTTAGGGTACTACGTGTAAAGCAGAAACTAAACGTAATGACAATGTCACTTGTTCTAGCTAACTATTTTAATATTGGGGTTCATTTTAAGGCCGTCAAGAGAAAAGTGAGCTTCGACTTTCTAATTCCTAACATTCTTAATATTCTTAGAAAGAAAGAAAGAAAGAAAAAAAGAAATTGTTCACGGTCGAACGAGTCATTACTGGTTACTTGCATTGTTCCGTGCTCCAACATCAGCACCCAACTCTATCATCCTGTCCAGTAATCCTGTACGATTGTCCTTCACTGCATACATCAATGGCGTCATTCCAGTCGTCTGATAATAATATATTTATTTGTTTATTTATCAATCTTTTAGAATTATTGATTGATACAATTTTTTCAAAATAATTTCTATTCTTTGATTAAATTAATACTATAATAATAAAGATTTTGCATTCAAATGTACTAACCGGGTCCATAAGACCAGACAGAGGTGCGATAAAACCTTCCTCAGCCGCATTCTGGACCGCCTTTTCCATAGATTTGAGCAGCTGGTCCACGGGTGCCCATTCTCCGCGTGCAGCAAGTGCCAAAAGTCTTTGGGCACCTTCCCTAGCAGTAGCACCTGCCGATCCAGGTTTGCTACCCGGTTGTGATGGTTCTCCACTGGTACCTCCATTGCTACCCGTTGATACCGAAGCACCATCATCCTTTCCACCAGCTGGACTATCTTCTTTATTTGGAATATTCTTCTTATCGTCCTTGTTGCCCTGAGATCTCTTGTTACTGCTCATGTTACGTCGTACTGTCTTTCTTCGCCGAACATGGTTCGATCCGGTTCTTTTTCCACGTTAAACGTGATATTATCTTGAAAGAAAATCTAATAAAATCTTTATTGACTTTGAATTATCGCTGATTGTTTAACAATAGATTAAAAATCTAAACGCGTATCATTGGCAACGTTAGACAGGATTCTAACGGACACTTTAAGTTCGTCCTATCACCACGGCAATCCTGACGATTCTAAAGACGAACCGTGTTAAAGCCGAGCAAAGTAGAAGGGTTGCTCTCCGACGTTCGTAGGGGAATCGACCAATCCTGATTCGTTAAAGTAACGGTAACCAACACTAAGAACTTGTTAGACGATTCGAACGTTTTCTCAGTGTGTTCTCGTGACTAGGCCGTTCGTACTGCTTTCGTAGAGTGCAAGAAAACGAAAGCTGGTGACTGTATCGAAGTAGTGGTTCATAAGGAGATTGCTTGTACGTCGACGTAGTGGGAGTTTGGATTTAATGTCGACACGCGACTTCCTGACTGAAACGTTGGCACGCCATCCAAGTCCGACCTCACTTTTTTTCTTTCTTTCATTATTTTATCTTTTGAGATATCTTTTTTTCCTTCTTTTTTTTTTTCCAATTTTGTATAAAGGGTCCACGTGTTATGGATCTTCTTTTTTCTACTTCATAATGATAAGATTTCATTATCTATAGATAATATTTTTAAAATATTTTTTTTATCATTTTGTTTTTTCGTTATCGTTTATTAAAATTCGCTTTTTTTCCTTTTTCTTTCTCTTTCTCTCTCTCTCTCTCTCTCTCTCTCTCTCTCTCTCTCTCTCCATTTCGATAGTCCGGTATACAAGTACATAAAGAAAAAGGAAAAAAGAAGTGAAAACTTGAAGAAAACGATTATAAGGCAGATCAGAAACAGTTTTATAAACATATTCAATCATTTGACCTCTCTCCTTATAAATAAGCAGATAACGTATTTCTGTTGGTTATAATCGGATTCAGTTAACGTATAGAAACGCGTATCTTGTCATAGTGATCAACTTGTTTGTCAAATAAGTATATATAAAGATACATAATATAATAGTTGCATAAAAATAAATATTCATATGCATATGCATAAATGATAAGACTATGTATATATTATATATTCAGTTATGTAATGTTCTGTTATATAATAATCAACTATATGTATAATATATATTAATAGATATTATATTACACGTAATTATTATCACTTATCATTTTTTTCATATTCGTATGTAGATCTATATTATTTAATATTTCCATTGTTTATTTTTATATTTCGATTAACATATATTCGTTCTAATAAATTAATATATTTTATTAGATTACTATAATACAAATTAATGATAATGTATGTAAAACGTTGATAAAAATGCTTACGTTAAACTCTCACATATCTATACTTGGATAAGTTGTTATACTGTTTCGTTCTTCATAAATAACTGGATGATCAGAGTTTTCCTTCACAGTTTTAAGCAAGTTAAACGTGCTTTAAGTTCTACCGACTGTTTTTTTTTATTTGGCAAACATAATATATTGTTAATGATGTTTCATCTTCAAACAAAATGTTTTTCTTTACGTGCTATTAGAAGTATTATCTCGAATACGGGATATTTTCCTGAATATTTGTATCATTCGAATACAGATATTAATGGTGAGTGAAGAAAAATTTTAATCGTTCAATAGAGAGATCAATTAATGAATTTTCAAAACATGGTAGAATATTATTTCATAATGATTTTAGATCAATCAAGTTTTTCGAAATTATTTATCATTCAAAAAAGAAAGAAATCTATTTGTCCAACAATTGACAAACAATATGCTTACTACTATCATCCTGGTAATAAACCATTGAGAAATGAAACAATTGGTCAATTGTTAAAAGAAGCTGCAGAAAAATGGCCTAATCATGAGTGCATAGTTTCTCATCATCAAAAAGTGCGATTAACTTTCTCCGATGTGCTTCTTCGTGTCGACAAATTAGCAGCTGGAATGAAGAAATTGGGCTTGAAGAAAGGCGATAGAATCGGGATATTTGGTCCGAACGATATCGAATGGTTCATCACGTTTTTCTGTTCCACTAGATTGGGTCTGATTAGCACTGCTATTAATTCGGCTTATCAACGAGATGAATTAATTTATTGTTTACAAAAAGTTGGAGCTAAGGCTATTTTCATACCTGTAAAATTTAAAACACAAAATTATGTAAACATGGTTTTGAGTGCCAAAGAATTTTGTCCCGATTTGGAGCATATCATTGTATGGTCAAAAGATCACGTAACGTACGTAAAGAAATTTATGATTATTAGAATTTGTAGAATAATTTATCTTAATTTGATATTCTCTTCATTCATAAAATCTCGTGAAGATTTTACACGTCTATTAATGAATATCGCGTGAGATATCAACTTCGTTTATATTCGTCCTGAAACATTGAAAATTAATTACTTATATGTGTCTGATGATCTTTTTTCTTCTTCCTACTTCTATCTTAATTAAAAATCAATCGAAACATTGGTATCAGGGAGATATTAATCGATTAGAGCAGATATTTTCCAATATGTATTAAATTGTGTTAAATAATGAAATGTCGAGAGTAATTTAAATTTTAAGAGAATTTTAGTTTTATCGAAATTATTCATTGAGTATTGTCGGATAAACAATTCAAAATTGATTTAGTTAAAAAGGTATCGCGTGAGAATTACTATCCATGTCTAGTTTCTTTAAGTTCGCGATATTTATTATATCTCATATCAATTTTTAATGGTTTATCGATCATTTATCAATAGTAATTAGTGGATTATGAAAAATAATAATTTTTAGAAGTTTATGAGGCTTTAAAGTAGAACATAATACGCATTTAATACGATTAGGATTTTTAGGAAATTATACTTAATAATTTTTAATCTTTTCTGGCTCCGAGATTTTCTTACGATAATTTCCATTCTTTATTCGATTTAATTTTCGTTCAGTAATTTGATCGATGAATTATACCTGCAAATAGAATAGATATGTAATTAGGTTAATGAGATAGAGAAAAACTTCTTTTCAATCGATGATTTCAATAGCGACGAAAATGTCAAAGTCATGTTTGCAATCGATCACTTTCTCGTTTTTTCAGTGGTACTCACCGTTTGATAGACGTAGAATCCTTAGCAAGCAAAATCGAGGTTGAAGCTATCTCTGCGGAACAAGATAACGTCTCCTCTTGCGACGCCTGTAACATACAGTTTACTTCCGGTACGACTGGAAAACCGAAAGCTACTTTAATATCTCATAGATCCTTCGTGAATAATGTTGAACAGGTAAGGATGGATCGTTCTACGATCTTGGAATATGAAGGAATATCAATACAATAAGAATTTTATTTTATTTTATTTCGCTTGATCAAGTGGAACTTATCGTAAAAGAATTTTTCCAAATTTTTTATTTCTCCGAACGAAAAATCCTTTCGATTATGATATTCTTCCAATTTTCTAAATCTTTTCTATACCATTAAAGGCAGTGAACAGAAGAGAGTTACGACTGGGCCACAAAAGTTGCTTAAACGTTCCATTATTCCATGCATTTGGAATTATTTATGGACAAATAAGTACCATACTTTCAGGTTGTACGACGATTTTAGAATCACGTTCGTTCGATCCTATAAAGTCCTTACAAGTAATGGCCGAAGAAAAATGCGACGTGATTTATGGAACTCCGACAATGTGGGTAAGGCTATCTTTTTAATCGTTTTACGATCTAATCTCATTTACGTGCTGAAATTCTATCATTTATTGTATTTTCATTGTTCAGATAAACATGATAAATATACAACAACAATTACGTTTGCCGATACAAGCCCGTATAGGTATAATCGGTGGTGCACCTGTATCTGCTGAACTTCATAAACGTGTTAAAGATATCCTTGGTATCGATGATATGAAGGTATAATTAATATATTAATGACTCGTCATAAAAATTCATTTAGCTTTCATAACTAGTCAGGAAATACACAAGAATAAACGTTTTTTTATCTCATTTCTTATGTTATTATTCTCGTTATTCTCGTTATCAAATAGAAACGAGATTATGCCAGAGAGAAAATAAGCCCTTCTTCTCTTTCTTCTCCTTCGAGAGATAGAGAGAGAGAGAGAGAGAGAGAGAGAGAGAGAGAGAGAGAGAAAAGTCGACGACCCAAGTGGCTCGTTGTTATCTATGCACATATCTTTGTAGCAAGCGCTTGATTCGTATGCATAAAAGCTACTCTAAGGAGGAATATCGCCTTGCCTTTTGCTGCGATCAATATGTAGAGCTTTCTTTGTAAAATGTATTTTTGGACTAAGCCGATTTGGAAAGTGGATTAATCCATTACGATTATTGCTTTCTGAGAATTAGAAGTGATTAAGTGCTCTTGCAATGATTCATATTCTTTTTCATAATATTTTTATTTCATTTTTCATTTCATTTTTTTTTTTTTTCTTTTTTTAGATAATTTATGGCCTCACTGAACTTACAGGTATTGTTTTTCAAAGTTTACCTGGAGAAGATAAAACGTTAACTGAGAACACGGTGGGATATGTATCAGATAATATCGAAGTTATGGTAAATTATTTGTATCGTGATAATTATATTCGTAAATGTATGGTTTCTTTGTTTTTCTCTCTTTAACTTTTTGCTTTTTACAAGAATAGGTCGTTAATGAGATGGGTGATCCAGTACCATTTGGAACACCAGGTGAACTTTGGGTACGTGGTTATAATAGTATGATCTGTTATTATAAAGATCCCGAGAATACTAAAAAGATTTTGACCGAGGATGGCTGGTTGAAGACTGGTGATCAATTTATTTTACAATCTAATGGATATGGTCAGGTCATAGGAAGAATAAAAGATCTTATTATTCGCGGAGGAGAAAATATTTTCCCTAAGGTAATCATTTATTTATATAATAATATGCACATATATGTATATCGGTATTATGCCAATTTTTTTTTACCCGCTAATTTCTTTTATCTTTATTAACGTAAAGAGATAATATCGTATTAATTTTATTTTAAAAGTAACTTAACAATTTCATTATTGTTAGAAGTGAAATGTATCTAAAATTTTAACTAATCCCAAATGTAATAATTATTTAGGAGATCGAAGACTTTTTAATTACTCATCCAAGTATAATAGAAGCTCAGTGTATAGGAGCTTATGATAAAATATATGGAGAAGAAATTTGCGCATGCATTCGTCTTTTCGAAGGTGCAAGTTTAAGCGAGAAGGAATTGAAAGCATATTGCAAAGGAAAAATAGCACATTTTAAAATACCAAAATACGTTGTCTTCGTGGCTAATTATCCAAAAACTGTAAGTGGAAAAATACAAAAGGGTAAACTTAAAGAGGAATTAGAAGGTAAAGGTGTTATACCTTCCGAGCCAAAATAAAGAAAAAAAACAATATTTAAATATTTATTTTTATATGTAACAACGAGATATTTCATTAAAACAAATTTAATTAGTTTTTCCTTTTCTTTTCCTTTCACCTTTCGATGACATTAATAATAAGCGCGGCAAAATTCGAAGTATCGAGATAGAGGTGAAACGATTATCGATTTTATCGATAAAAAGTGCTACAAGATACCGCAAGGCTGTAGACCAGTCGTATGTTTAGCGTCTCTCAAGAATGAAAATTGTGAATAAGAAGTAGATAAATAGTTTTTACATTTTTTTATGCAATCAATAGAGATTCGTAATGGCCGAATATTTGGCATCGATCTTTGGCACAGAAAAGGATAAGTAAGTTCGATTAAATTTTATATGATTTATATAAAGAGCGATCTAATGCGACCTAACCTCAATTGGGTATATTTTGTACGCAGGGTAAATTGTTCGTTTTACTTCAAAATCGGTGCTTGTCGACACGGAGATAGATGTTCACGTATTCATAACAAGCCAACATTTAGTCAGGTAAAATAACGCCAAATTATAAGCTTTATTACAAGTAATATCATTCTTAAAATTTGTACTTATCAATGTGTGTTTACCAGACGTGTCTACTACAGAATCTTTACGTCAATCCACAAAATTCTGCTAAAAGTGCGGATGGTTCTCATTGTAAGTATAATATATATATATATATATATACACACACACACACACACATGTATTTGATAATTAGCATAATTTTTTATGTTTACTTTTAGTGGTGGCAAATGTATCGGACGAAGAAATGCAAGAACATTACGACAACTTTTTTGAAGACGTGTTCGTAGAGTGCGAGGATAAATATGGAGAAATTGAGGAAATGAATGTTTGCGACAATTTAGGAGATCATCTGGTAGGGAATGTTTACATTAAATTTCGTAGAGAAGAAGACGCAGAGAGAGCAGTTAACGATCTAAATAATCGTTGGTTTGGTGGTAGACCAGTTTATGCAGAATTATCTCCTGTTACCGATTTTCGAGAAGCTTGCTGTCGTCAGTACGAAATGGGGTAACTAATAATATAAAAAAATACATATTCTATATATAGCTAATATGTTTATCATAAATGCAAATCTAATCGGTCATACAATTTTCAGCGAATGCACTCGATCTGGATTTTGTAATTTCATGCATTTGAAACCTATTTCAAGGGAACTTCGTCGATACTTGTACAGTCGTAAAAAAGGAGGAAAAATTCGATCTAGATCTCGTTCTCGGTCTCGGGGACGCGATCGTAAACGTAGATCTCGATCTCGTGACAGAAGATCCAGATCGAAGGATCGTAAAAGACGAGACGATAAAGGCAGGGATGGGCGATCTGGACGTTATTAATAATTATTCTTTAATAATTTTTACATACATAATACATCGTGCATTTAATTCAAATACTTGATTGACTATCAGGTATCTTTATTACATAGTGTGCAAGTTTCAATCGATCCTTGCGATTATGTAAATTTGACCAAATGAAAGAAAAAGATTTATGAATATATTACATATTGTAGAGAAAGCAACGCGATAATTTAGATTATTGTTTTTATATTTTTTATTGAAGGATAGTAAAAAAAAGGATTTTATATTAATCCCATATAATATGTAATCAATGGAGCATGTAGTATAATATTATGATGACAAATATTAATCTTAAGCTTTTCACGTGAACTGTATATTATTAATTGTGCAATCTTGATAAGGACACGCACAAGTTTGTTTATACTTTTGTAGAAAGGAAAAATCATGCAATACGATCAAATTCTGATATGAAAATATTGCATTTGTATTTCACGAATTTTCGTTAATGTGCACGTAAAGAGGCAATCATTGTCGGTAATTAATGTCGACGATAAGGTAGTTTGGGGAAAGTGTTCGTAGCGCCACCTGAAGAAAATTCCTGGAAACTTCGTAATAAGTTACAACGCTTTGCTCTATTTTATCGATAATTTATCGACAGTTATCGACTTACCATCATTATATAGGTGTTATCATGTAGTAAAAATGATCAAAGTTTTCATTGAAATTTCTTTGATTCGCGATACAGAAGATGAAACGAGTGGACGAAATGCATATATCTTCGATATCGTCATTCATTGCCAACCCTTAGATACTACAGATGGATGATGCTTCGGAACAAGAGATGGTAGCACTAAGTTTTATCCCTTTAAAGTAATATTTATCCAATTGAGATTTTTTTTTTACCTAAACCAAATTACGATATCGGTATTATAATTATTATAATATTATTTTGTCTTTTTTAATATAATTAATTCATAGGCTCGAACGTTTCACGTTTTATAAGAAGACTCGAAAAAGAAGAGGATCGAAATCGATGTATCCGGGCACGTGTTTTCAGGTAGATCTAATTGGCCTGGAGGGTTTCAGAGCAAATGTGGACCATTTCAGCGTCGGGCTGTGCATCGAACAGCCGTGCATTACCGCGGCAGATGGTGCTCGTCGTGATTGCAGCTGCTCTCAGAAGAACACCTGCCGTGGCCGTTCTCTCTGCCAACTATCGAGATGCACCGTATCACTGTCAGTCCTTTTCGAGCTCCTCTCTACTCCTCCCCCCTCCCCTCTCTATTCCATTTCTCTATCTTCTTGCATTCTCCGTCTGTCGGATCCACATTATATTAGGTATGTTCATTTAACGATCTGTCTATCTTGGATTATTTAATTCGAAATTACTCCAATCCGGAATTATTGCTCTAAATTTATTGAAAGATAATTGTTAAAGAAACAAAATCTTTTCCATTAGTTTTCAAGTACTTTTTTTTTTGTTTTTTATTTTTCGAACTATGGTAGTATAGTTTTCATTTAAGCGCAGACGTATATATCTTTTTGTTAGTCCAATACGGCTTACAAATCGATGTCGGTGGATTTTTACACGCAGCTAATATCGATGCATAAAACTTCCTAGCGTCGGTAATCTCCACGCTGATATCTGTTTTACGATCCGACCTGCGATATGGCAATGGTCATAAAGCATCGAGTCGATCGATCGCAATGATTGGAAGTCATAAGCGAACGAATTTCATTGGGTCGATTCTGATAGGTGCAATGAAACTTCTAATATTAATCTCATATTTATGTTATCATTAATATTACTTCCCGTATACTTATTGTATAGTACATTAGAAAGGAGGATCGATCAATTGAAATGAAAGAAAAATTAAGAGAAGAAATTAAATAAAATTAAGAAAGAAAAAAAAGAACAGAACGATGATACTTTTTCTATTCGTTAAAGCAAAAACGACGAGGCAAGAGAAGAGATGAGGATGAAAATGAAAGGTGGGGAAGGGATGCAATGTTGCTCGGTAACCGGCCCACCCAAAGACCATAATTAATCCTGGCGATTTGCCAGAGAATCGAATCGTGGGGAAGAGCTTTGCTTGCTCTCGTTCGAAAAAAATTTCGGGAGATAAAATACGCCGGGAGAAAATTGCACGAGTAAGGATGGACACTTTTGACCATGATTTCCCTCGTCGAGGAATGACGAGCTAACGAGCTGTCAAACGTCAAACGTCAAACGTCAAACGTCAAATGTATCGAAAGCTCACGTTATTGACTTCCTCCTTTTTTCTCTTCCTTCTCCCATCATCTCATTAACTTCGAATTTGGCACGATGTGACGTCATTATCGCATAATTAATATTAATCATAATATAGTATGAGATATAAATATAGAACTACCTATAGTATGCATATTTATATATATATATATATATATCCGTGAGAGAGAGCGAGAGAGAGAAAGAGAGAGGTATTTGAAAAAGAGAAAAAACGAGAGAGAGAGAGTTTTTCAAAGCAGACTCTATGAGAGAAGTTGTTCATTCGAAAACAAAGAGAAAAAAGGAAAAAAAATGTTCTGTAGCAGCCATTTAATCGCGAAACCGGTGAATGCCGGTGCATCGTAAAAAGAAAGAGATAGATAGATAGATAGATAGAGAGAGAGAGAGAGAGAGAGAGAGAGAGAGAAGGTGAAAAGCCTGATTGAATCCTGGCTATGCGTGTGTAAAGCAGGTATCCGTTTGTTTTCTCGAATTTGGCGGAGTATATCCTTTTGATCGGTTACTTTTGGCCATCGATCGATCATATAGAGAATCCATTAAAAAAATGAAAGTTGATACTATTCGTACACTTTGCATTATGTTTATCTTTCCTCTCCTAGATATTTTCATCTTTTACCTTGGAAAAACGGGGCCATTTGTTAATTATCTTTAGAAACGAATGTAGCCGACCATTTATGTTACTCCATAATTCATATTTAATTTGTGAGTATGGTAAATGCCGCAGGCGCTTTTTCTAGAAGGGATAATATCGATCCGGTTAGTTTTTCCGCTAAGAATTGTTTCTTTTTATTTGACAGTAGGACGTTTTGCAGTCGTAATTATTTACATTAGTTTTCTCTTTTTAACCAGATGAGTTATTGCGCGCGCGTGTGATGTAGTTATTATTTTTCTTTCATTAACAATTGCATGCTATTGAAAGTTATGTAAAAACGTATCAACCGCCGTAATAGCGAACGTCCCTACATGAATATAGATAAATTTATATAATTTTCATAATCGGATTTTGGTTAGGATGTATAATTCGTTATGGACGTCCTTTCTATTCGCAAGAATGTTATAAATCGGTGGCTATCAGATTTCACGCATCCCCGGCTTAAATTTTCACACGAGAGTGATCCTTTCGCCGGCACCTCTTTTATCTGGATACCAGAATATCGACTCTTTTCATCGATTCTAACCGATTATATCGTTTCGTTCGAACGTGCGACGCGCGGAGTCGAGTATTATGCTTACGAAGCGCGCTACCGACCGATGCATTTTAATGAAATATTTCCAGCTTTCCTTTGAAATATTTGTAAATGATTTATAAAAGGGTATTTAATTCTCTTTTAGGTATTAACGTGTTCCCATATGTTATTGTTCTCTTTTTTTTTTTTCTTTTTTTTTTTTCTCCATAGTTTACAATACTTCATTTTACTGAAGAAAAAAGTGTAAAGTAAAGATAATAAATTATGTCGTACAAATGTATCCTTTAAAAGTTATTTATTATTTTTATTTTAGATACACAATATTGGATTATATGTATGTAAAAAAGATGAATAGAAAAACGAAGGATTCGTAAGAACGTCGTCGTCGTCGTCGTCGTCGTCGTCGTCGTCGTCGTAAGAAGAAAAAAAATGTCAAAGTGAATGTCAAGAAACAAAAAGGAGGAGAAAAAAACAAAAGCCTACTTGTTCACCGTAATTGTTGTAGAGTGTGCGAGAGAGAGAGGGAGAGAGAGAGAGAGAGAGAGAGAGAGATAGTAAGGGAAGATAACTTTCGTTCTCTCAAACGTGAGTAGAAGAAGAGGCTCTGGCACGCAACGTCGTCGTTAAAGAAGAGGAAAAGACGGCGGAGGTGGAGGAGGTGAAAAAGAAGGTGAAGTACCGAGAGGGCATCCACAGGACGGCAGTAGACACTCGCATTTTTTATGGACGAGCAGACCGTCCTCGAGGCTCGGTCGAGGCTCATTTAGTAGAACGCTCTGAATAGGAGAGCCTCACTTCGCGGAGGCTTTTGCATCTCTCTCTCTCTCTCTCTCTCTCTCTTTCTCTCCTCGAGTACTCTCCCGAGTTTACTCGGATTGAATGCGTCGCTCGTTAGTCCGCTCCGTCTAAGAACGTCCGGCTTCCGTTCGCAATACTTTTGCGATTTTTCATCGTATCGGTGGTATGACGATCTCTCAATGATCTTGAGTATTATCGATATCATGCAAACTTCTAAGAAGAATTTTCTTTTGTTATTCAAAATCGATTGAACAATTTTTTTTTTTTTTTTTTTTTTTTTTTTTTTTCTATAACTATCTCAATCCTTTACTTATTTAGAAAAATTATTGACTAATTGTTATTATTATTGTTATTATTATTATTATTATTATTATTAGTATTATTATTACTATTGCTAAATATAAAAAGTGTCAACATGTGGGTTTAATCGAAAGAAAGAATAATAGCAATTAAATGATACCCTTGTCTCTCTAAGTATTAGTGACGATTATACGAAAAGCAAGTTAATAATGATGATAATAATAATAATGATAATAATAATAATAATAATAATAATAATAATAAGGAACGATATAGAAGAAGCAATTATATGGGTTTCGGCTCTCGGAAAAGCTGTACTGTGGCATGCCGACAAATGAAGGGACAAAGGGCCGCTTTATTTCGGTTCTTGCGACCTCGACATTAACGAGAAGACGACGGTGGAACGTTTGAAAAGGGCTAAAGAGGGCGAAATTTTCAAAGAAAAGAAGGACTTTCTTGTTAAATTATTTCTTTATCTCTCTTTTCTTTTTTTTTCATGTAAGTTTCTTGACTTCTTCGTTCTTTGCATTAGAATTGAATTCTTTTAGTTTTTCTCCATTTCTTGATTTCTTTTTTTTAGGCATCTTATAGTATAGAAAAAGCTTATCCACCTGTTCTTCTTTTCATAAGAATGAGAAAAATAAAGTTAAAGAAGAAGAAGAAGAAGAAGAAGATGAAGAAAAAAAGAAGTTAGAATACAATCCATTTGGGAAATCGAAAGGAGCGTTCGGACGTTGCGTGATATTTCTGTGGAATCAAGTTTCAGAGAGTAGTATCTTGAAGCTATCGCAATTTTTATTCCACCATGGGTTATGAGAAATACAGGAAGTTGTGAGTTATCACACTTGTAAGAGAAAAAAGGATAGGAGGAGTTTGTGTGTGTGTGTGAGAGAGAGAGAGAGAGAGAGAGAGAAAAGCATAAAATAGGAAAATAAATTCAAATAGTTCTTTTTAAAACGCTTCGAAGCTCTCGTAATGCCAAGAGAAACTCTTGCTGAGAATACTGTCGTTGAGTTTAATCGTGGATGAATCGATTCGGAACATTCAGAGGAGCAAGGATGGTGGATGGACCAAAAGGATAGAAAGAGAGAGAGAAGGAGAGAGAGAGAGAGAAGTTTCACGGCACAACGACCGTTCCTAATTAGTTCCTTGTATTACTTAACCCGACTCGACGTTGGACACAGCGAGAAATTGTATGAGTTTCGAAGCGTTGCACAGTTCAACCTTGACTAATTTGGATCGTTTGCGTTCTAGCATGCGCATTCACCTAAGTGCGGGCCTCGATACGCTTCTTCCCTTTCCGTCTTGTTATTCTCTATCTATTCATCGTTGTCTTTCAGACCAGATGTGCATAGAATTTCATCCAAGTATTCATCGAGGAAAACTAAGAATCATATTGAAAGTAAATTAATGGTATGTTGATGAAACTTTAAGGTAATTAAAATCTTAATGTAAAAAAAAAAAAAAAAAAAGAAAGGAAGAAAGAAAGCGATAATAATATTCTTCGTTTATTAAGAGAAAATTGTATTTCTGTAGGTACATATCTTAGTATGAAACTTTAAGGAAAGCTTGTTATTTCGTCGGTAACAAAAAGAGATTCGTCATCCATCGGAAGTTTGGTCGGTCCGTAGGGAGTCCCTTAGACTTAGCAACGATTTTGATGGAACGTTTTGGCGAGCAGGGAACAGCAGTGATAGCTTTTTGACCACTCCTTCGTTGTACTTCGACTTCTCTTCCGGTCGTCAGAGAAGAAAAAGAAATAAGAGAATAAAAGAGATAATAAGGCAGGAAGTATAAAGAGCTTTGTGAGAAGAAAAAGACAAGGAGCAAGAGAGAGAGAGGGAGAGAGAAGAAATCAGAGATAGGGAGGAAAAAAATATCCGTTCTAACGTCGTCGTATCTTTTACGAGGCAGCCTTCTGATATCGTTCGTAGGAAGACGATCGTGTTTGCGACACGACTCGACGACTCATTGAAAAGCTATAACGCTACTTCTATCTCTATTCTTGTCTCTTTCTCTCTCACTCTCCATCTCCCTCTCTCTCTCTTCTAAACGTTTCTCTCAACTACAGGTCATCTCTTTCATACAGTCCTTCGTTTCGAAGAGTTAACCCACAACGTGCACGTGCTAGAAAGGAGAACACGTGTGTCGACTCTTTCGCCTTCTACGAGGACCCTGGAGCGGTCACGTTTCAAGCGTTATTAAACGCTTCTTATCCAACGCGACCTTGATATCGATCCCTTCCAGCTCCCTTCCTCCCTCGATCGTTGCAACGAATCGAGAGAGCATACGACGTGCATAGGATTTCTTATGAATGTTTGATCTATCAGCTGAATCGACTGATGCACGTTATTCTTGTTAGATGATACATTTGAAATGTTTCTTCTTGATAAAAGAATGTTGAAGTAAATCGTTTGATTTTTTACTTAGTTCATGTCTTTATAAAATAAAGATTTTAGAGAAGGTTTCGTTCAACATTTATATTTATTATTTTCATTTTATTATATCAACGAATTAGTCGAATCAATTATATCAAAATTTTATACACAGTTTTATTGTCTTAATTATGGAAAACTATTCAGAACTATTTATTGTTAAGTCTAATAAGTTCAATTTTAAACAGCATGCAAATACTTTTATCATGTATTGTAGATTTATGCAAAAGAGATTTTAAAAATGCAGATGAAATTATTTAAGTAAAAAAGGAGTTTTGAAAACTCATTATTATCTAGTTAAAATGTAATATATTAAATGTTTAAAATTATGTTATAAATTTTATTAATAATCCATGATAAAAATATGACGAATCAAAAAGAAACATTTTGTACAATTGTTATATCTGAATGAATTTATTATTTTTGGGAAAGAAGAACATGCATTGCCTATAAAACTATATTGAAATAAAAATGTACTTTTTGAAGCATTTATATACATCAGCATCTATTTTATATTTAAATATATATGTAAAAAAATCAAACATTGAGTAGTTTAAAAGATTGAAAACGATATATATGTATAAAGTATGTTTATGTGGCAGTTTATGTTGTTGCGCATAGAAAGTAAAAATAGAATTAATTAATTACCAATCATATATTATTAAATGCCTACAGATTAAAATAGTAATAAAATTCCATATTTTTAGACTGTTTAAAGGAGAGATGTAAAGTATAAATAGTAATAAATTATTATTTTTTTTTATTTTAGATTGATTAATTGTTTGTGTTTTGACTCATGTCGTAGAGAGAAAAGAGAATCGACGTTCGTGTGACGACAAAGTAGTATGTGTATGGCGGGAATATATTTTGATTAATTATATAGAAAGTGCCAATTTATTTTTATAATACTAATTACTAAAAAGATTTCTTGATTTTTTTACTGTTATAATTTTTATTATATGTTTTATATTATGTACTATTTTGTAATAATAGGCTAAAACATCGAAATATTTTTTGATGCGAAATATATTCGTTCTGGTGCATTACGTATACGTAATTAGTTATGCGCATGCGCGAGACGAATTCAATTGTTTCAACAATTGCCATATTTGGTGACACGGCTTTGTATCGTCCTCATTAATTTCAGGTAATCAATAGAATTTTTCTAACGTACACCCTCATTCTATATATCTATCGATAGCTAAACACGAGATCTTTATGAGGCCGCGTTCGCAAATCGGGATATTCTCGCATTCAAAAGATATTCGCGAAAATAAAATCATTGTCTAAACGTTCTCGACTAAAGTGCTCTTTATCTCGAATTTTTTCGTTTTATTGCGTTTTTTGCGATGTCGATATTTCTTTCGCTTTTTTACAATGTTTTAATTAATAATTTTCCATTAATTATCCCTCATATATTACATTTCGTATTATATTCGATCTTCATATGCATGCGTATACATCATACACATACATACATATATATATATATATATATATATGCATGTGTAAGTATGTTGATTATCTTCTATACATTGGTGAAACGTACCGAAGGTGGCGCTGCGTACATACGAGGCGCGAATTCAATTGTTTTCGCGATAAACATGACGTCATAATTGTTTAGTAGGCACTACCTTGACATATTTCCGTATCGTCTCTGTTAATTCCAGGTAATCAATAGAATTTTTCTAACGTACACCCTCATTCTATATATCTATTGATAGAAAAACGCGAGATCTTTATGATGTCATGTTCACAAGTCGAGACATCGTCGCGTTTAAAAGATATTCGTAAAAATGAATTCTGCGTCTTGGTTATGTTTTTTCTTTCGAATTTTCATTTCTTATTTTCGAAATATTCGTACTGTTTTTGGTTTTTAACTTGTTTTATTTAATAATTCTTCATTAATTAATAATTTTTCATTAACTAGTTTTCATATATCGTATTTCATATTATATTCGAATTTCATATATATACTATATATGATCATATATTCATGTATGAATATTTCTTCCACACGCATACATATATACACCTTTGTATAGAAATACACAAGTTTTATACTATGCTAATACAGTCTTATGTTTTTCAGACTTTCAATAATTTTCGTGCAAGGATCAACAAAACCTTTCTGTAAGTAATTTTTCATTTCTAAAAATTTTCTTCATAATTTTAACAATTTTCTTTTTTATAAAAATAATAATTTGTTATTTTCATTTCTTTTTCCAGCTCAAATTAAAGAAGAATCCTTCATCATTCTGGGGCAGGATGTTCATCGTACAAGATTCAACGAGGACTTAAAGTAAGTAAATTTTTTTATTAAACTTTTTCTCTATAAATTTAATGATTTTTTTTTATTGTAACAATGATAATAATTATTATGGTTTCTTTTTCTTTTCAGATCATCATTTTAATCAGGTTTATCTACTACGATTTCAACAAATAACAATTTATTTCGATGTTTACTTCGATGTTTACTTCGATGTCTACTAATTCCGACCTATTACACGCACGAGTGTTTTGGAGCCATCGCAGAACTTCTTAAGTAGTGAGTGAACAAATTTAAGTACCTCCAGTGCTCATCATGCTGAGGACGAAAAGTCCGAATCGGCACGATTTACTGGTTGTATTGATTTACATAAATTATTGACGAGCACAAATAATTCCTTTTATTGGTAAAAATGTTCAATTGTTTAAATGTTAATGAAATAAATCACTCGATTTTAAGGTCACGATTTTAATAGTAAAAATGGATAAAATATGAAATAATCCTACTTCGACGTTTATTCTTCGAAGTACGAAAGAAGACTGACGTGATAATTCGTACGGTCCTATCAAAGATTTAAAATTTATTTAAAATTTCTCGAAGGTAACAATCTTAATGCACATTCTTAATGATACTTGCTAGTACAAATTTAAGAAAAATTGAAACGATTGAATTTCAGAATGAATCTGATCTGAAAACCTTGTCGCTTCTCGTCACTTTTTATCACTTGAAACTTTATATTTCGTCAGAGACAAGAAAAGAAAAGAATTGCTTCTACGGCAGTTTTCAATCTATCGGATATACTAGGAAAACGATTTCCTCGTGCAGTTGCTTCTTCAGGTGTAATCACTTCGAGTTAAGTCGACTCTCCACGACGATATCTAGGGAAGAAAGTTTTTCTGGAGGCTGCGGTGAGAAACGAAAGGACGGAAAACGGCCGGTCGAGTCTCTCGCGAATAAAATCTCGTACGGCCCGATTTATTTCCTCTTTCTCTCTTTACCTCTTTACCTTTCTATTTCTCTTTCTCTCGGTCCTAAGAGGTCGTAATAACTCTCTTAAATTCATAGCTCGGCCTCTTAAAATTCCATCGTCTCACTGGCGTTCGCAGTTCTCCGCCATTGTCGTAGCAATTTATCGCGAATCCCTAAAGTGTCGTGAGCCGTTTGGTACGTCGTGGAAAAAGAGAAACGAAGATGAGAAAAAGATGAAGAAGAGAAGGAAGATAAGAAGTCAAAAAAAAAAAAGAAAAAAGGGAATCAATGTGGTCTATGGAGAAGAAGGAGAGGAGAAGAAGAAGAAGAAGAAGAAGAAGAAGAAGAAGAAAGACAGGTCGAGTTTGAGAGCTTTGTCCGGAAGCCGAAACCTGTGTTTTATCTCCCAGTTGCCGAACTTTTAGTCCTTCCTCATCCTTCCTTCTCGACGTGGTCCTTGACAGAGAAGAAAAGAGGCCAAGAAGAAAGAGGCTGTGTATGTGTCTGTAGGAGAAAGAGGGAAGGGAAAATAAAGAAAAAGGAAGAGGTGATATAAGTTGCGAGATAAAAAGGAGAAACGAAGGTAGACGAAAAATGAAAGAAAGAAAGAAAGAAAAAAGAAAGAAAAAAAGAAAGAAAGAAAGAAAAAAGAAAGAAAGAAAGAAAGAAAGAAAGAAAGAGAAAGAGAGAGAGAGAGAGAGAGAGAAATGTCGAGTTAGAATCGCTCGTGCTACGGTAAAAAAGGTAAAAAAAGAAGAAATGAGGGAAAGTGGGCCACGAGTTTCGTGGTTTATTGAAAAGCTGCCGCTTAAGTGCTTCCACCTTTCGACTCTTCCTGTCCAACGGGCTTTAGACAGGTGCTGGCCTGATTCTTGCACACTCCTTTTTTTCTTTTTTATTTTTTTTCCTTCTTCTTTCTCTCTCTCTCTCTCTCTCTTTTTCTTTCTTCCTTCCTTTCTGCAACCACTTTTATTGGCTCACCAACGTCTCCGAGAGAGCACCGAAGACCGACATAAATATTTAGTCGATTATTTTAACGGGTTACTGTAGTAATGGTCCGCCAAGTACTTCTCTCGTTTTACCCTTCTTCTCGACGACTCGTCCTAGACTTCTGAAATTGGATCGAGCACCTGCGTCGGGCAGGATATCGAAGGAGGTAAATTAGATGAAGCGATAGAGAAAAGTAGAGTGGAGACTCGTAAGATGCGACTTCCTATCTTACAACTCTTCGTACCTTCGGTGTTGTATTTTTGCAAATGAAAAAGAAGAAAAAAAGGAAAAAGCAAAAGGATTAAATTCACAGCCAGTTTTTATGATTAGTTCGATATTAACGGTTTAGAACAATTAATAATCATATTTCGTTTGACCGAAATAATTTCAATTTTCAGCTTAGAGATCGATCGCCTTTTTTTCTTTTTTTTTTTTTTTTCTTCGTTATAGAAAAAGATGAATGATCATTTTGAACGATTATTTCGATCATATTATTGAAAATTATATTCATAAATATCCAACAATTGTTTATCAATAGAAAGGAATTTCCTTCGTTTCTTTGAAGTTTCCTCTATCGAGTCTTCGATTAAATCTCTGCCTTCTATTTTCCCTTCTCTTATTTTCTAAATATTCCTACCCCTCGTTGGAGTCATCCCAAGAAAAGAAGATAGTCAGTGATTCGGAAACCCTAATCCCTCTTGTATATACCATGGTAACGAAACAAAGCAGTGTACGCATCGGAAGTCGAAACATCGTAGGTGTCCTCTCGTTTCCTCCCTTACTTTCAGAATCATGAAAGTTAAAGCCAAAGAGAGAGAGAGAGAGAGAGAGAGAGAGAGAGAGAGAGAGAGAGAGAGAGAGAGAGAGAGAGACAGAGAAAGAGACAGCAGGAGGGTAAAATTGAAGGGTGCACGCGTGCGTTGGCACGAAGAATACAATGAAGAGAGAGAGAGAGAGACAGAGAGAGAGAGAGAGAGAGAGAGAGAAAAGGGAGATATGGAAAAATCCGTCTCCAAGAGTTTCCATCGAGGAACCTTGCTCGAATTCGCTCGTTAAAACGACATAAAACTTGTGTATGCCTTTGTTGAGGCAATAAAAAAATGTCTGCCCTTCTAATTGTTTCACTGTAACTTTAAGAGAAAGAGACAGAGAAAAAGAAATAGAAGAACCGCATCAAACGGAAATATTCTTTGTGCTCGTTGAATTCTTTTGTACTAGAAGGTATCTTTTTCTTTTCCTTCTTACAAATTTACGATTCATTTGGAGTATACTAGTATACATTATGCCTTTTATGACTTTTCACTCTGATCTTACTGAAATGTTCATATGGAATTATTTAAAAGAGTGTAGATACATGTTATTGAAAAAAGAATAGAAAGAATTGTCGAAAAAATATTGAGCAAAAGAAAAAGTGGAACGATTAGAAAATATATTTATAATTTATATAGATTATTTAAGTTTCTGTTGTTATTAGGAAATAGAAGAATCCATAATTACTAAGTTCTCAGTATTGCACGATATCTAGTAGAATAAATCACGAAATTAGTTTACTCAGACGCTAAGAATGAATTCTGCATGTTCTTCCCTCGTTTCTCCGTACTTGCATGAACTTCCTTTCGAGTAAGTTTTGGATGCAGCCGCTACTACACTCGCTTGCGTGAGAAGAATGCGGATAGAAAAAGACTCGGAAAGTGAACTGCACTTTAGTTTTATGAGATATGCGAGTTACTATTGCGACTAACTAACTTTACGAATTTCCTTGCAAATTAGAATTCTTTCGAAGAATTATTATTTATGAGTTTTATTTTTCAACATTTCTTCTTTCTTATTTCATAAAAATCTTTTTTACTGTTTTAATCGAAAAGAAAAAAAAAAGAAACATAA